TATATATATATATATATGTGTATATCAATTTTTGATCTATTATTCTGGGATTTTTTTTTGAATTGATTGGAATTATTTGTTAAGAAATAAAAAATATTTATAATTTTGAAAATCGGACCGAATCACTTATCACCATGTTCAATCTTGAACCAGTTTTATGACCAGTTAAATTAATCTTAAAATCATGCTCTGCATTAAACTGAAATGAGCCGATTAAAACCACTAGTTCGATCGATAATCCATTGAACCGGTTCACCCTTTTTTGAATTGAGCGGTTCAATTGTAGGATTATTTAAATAATTCCTTTAAAACCAAATATTTTTAAATAATAATATTCTTTTAACTTCTAATTGAAATTTTCTTATTAAAAGTAAAGTAGGCGGTCATAAAAGGTAGTTAGATGTGGAAGTGATGGCGGCAATATTATGCGATCTAAATTCAATATGTAAGTTAGGCTATCTTCATTATCATCATATTTTATAATATTAATCAGTCCTGTTTTTAACATAATTTTTAATTATATCAACCGATTGTAGGGGTGTTATGCATATTATCGCTACTAAAAAAATTAAAACACAACATTTAAAAACCGCTGCTACTAACTTTCTTTATGAGCCGGCTCGAATTCAGCTCATTAATAAGTTCATGAGCCGAGTTTACTGAGCCATAAGTTGGAAAATCTTGAGTTCAGCTTGGCTTGGTTCGTAAGATCGTTGACCTGCTCAATTAACTTAAAATATATTTTGACGAGTCAAGCTCGAGCAGTCGAGTCAAACTCGAGCATTTTTAACGAGCTTGAGACTAAAATTTTTTTAGACGAGTTAAGTAAAGGAGCTCGAGTCGAGTTGAAGTTCCAGTTCGAGCTCTGCATAAATTAAACAAGTTTAGATTGATTAAACAAATTCTTGACTCATTTACACCTTTAGCACGTGATTGTTCTTGGAGATGTGTTTGTCAAATCAGATGATGATGAAGGATTGAGTGCTTAGCAAATAAATTTAAAAATAATTTTGGCATGAATGCTAGTTGAGAAGATCTTGATTTCTCTTACATCTGAGCAGACCTTCCACTAAGTTGAGCCGACCAAGCATGTTGTTAATTTTAAAGTTATAGGGATTTCTTAGCAAGCCAATGTAAGAGGAACCCTGGTCATCTCCAAGAAGATGAGAAATCTTAAAGCATTAAGTAGTATACTTAACTTAGGGGTGTTAATATTTGACACGACACGAAAATCCGACTCTAATCTGAAATGAAAATTTTACGTTAATCCCGACCCGGTCTCGAAACGGGTCAAGATAGGGTTCCCGGATTCGACCCCTTTGAAAAAACGGGTCGGGTTCAGGTTGACTCGGAAACGTGTCTGCCCGCATCTGCTACGCGCCTAGTCCTCGTTGAGTGACCTTGTTGCTTGTCGCGTTGCCCATAGCGTCGCCTTGCTTGAGTCAAGTCACGTTGTCATCTCTTCATTTTGTTCGTCCCTTCGCTATCTCTTAGCGTTGCCCGTCGCGTCTCCTGCTGCAGCGTCGCTGTTATCGCTGTCACGATTCGCTTATGAGCTGCCAATGCAGTGTGTCCACGTCTGTTTCCCGCTATCGTGCCGCCGCCACTGCCTTGTTGCTATGCCGGTTGCGGCGTTGTTGAGCCGCTGCAACTGCCATTGCCGTTGTCAAGTTCTCGGGTCAGGTCGGGTCAACAGAGTAACCTGTGCGGGTCAGGTTGATATTAAAAACCTAATATGTTTGCAAAAACGGGTCGGGTTCAAGTTGACCCGTTTAGACCTGGGTCAATTCAGGTTCGACCCAAACCCGATCCATGACCTAATTTTGACACCCCTAACTTCACTAATCATTTGTGCATTCAAACATGCGGATTATCTTTTAACTCATCCTAGTATCCTACTTTATTTTTTCTATGTATGATCATTTTCCTTGGTCTCCAATATATGAGTATGAATGATTTAAGCTTTATTCTTTACAATCAATCACAACATCTCTCTATAATTTTGTTTTATTTAAAGCACTAATCTTTGCATTCATTTTTGAATATTAAAACTTGGAGAATGACAATATTATGTAATTGACAACATTATGAATAGACCATTAAGAAGTTGATGGTTGATCTTTTTTAACATTTTAGCATTTTACAATGATGTCTATGATCCTGCTGTCACATACGATTGATCTCAGTATTGTACTTTTTTTGGCTTCTTCTATCAGTTTTTGGTTGATGCCTTGAGCAGCCTTGGTTGTTTGATGGGGAACTCTTTGTCTTTGCTTGCTAACATAGTTAACCATTACTGTTGTTATTGGGTGAATTCCGCTTATTTCTGCCTGTTTCTGGTGGGTTAATACTTTGCTGTTTTGTTGGCTTCTCCTATCAGGATTTGTTTGTTGCCATGAGCCGTAGTTGTATGCCGGGGAATTTTTGGTCCTTGCTTGCTAACATTGTGAACCATTACTATTGTTATTTTGGGACCTATGCTTATTTCCACCTAATTCCAGTGGGTTATTGCTCTTCTGTTATGTGTTGGAATTGTTGTTTTTTTGACTTCTCCTATCAGGAATTTCTGAACACTTGGATTAGCTTTTTGTGGAATATGTGGGTACAACAGGTTACTGGTTTTATTTATGTGGCTAATTTGAACCCTCTAGTTGAGGGTAATCAATACAGTTTGTCGATTCATTGGAACACATTTGCTTTTAATTTTTTGTTTAATGTTCTTGCAGGCCTCTTTTGAAGGTTTTTGGAGACTCGTTCTTGTTTTGTGTAGGACCCTATTATGGCTAGAAAGGCGGTGCTGAGTTGGATGTATCTTTTCGTTTCCTTTTTTTGATCTTATAATGTTATTAGGGTGCTTTGTATTTGTGATTAGTATGGATATATGTATCTTAGGTTTCTTTTTGACTTTTTCTGTAGCACTTTCGAGCATTAGCGAGTTGGAGGTCACTCTAAGGACTTTGTACTCCTTTTTTGATTAATTAACATGTAAGCCCATCGGTGGGTTTTATCCAAAAAAAAAAAAAAAAGAGAGTTAAATATTGCTTTACTTGGGACAACTTTCATATTGCTTTGCTTTTAAGATCGCAACCACTATGTCTTTTTGGCCAATACTTTTTCGCTGCTATAACGAAATTTTTATACTAAGAAGTTATTTTCTACAAAAGCTTTAAAAAAAAAATTGCTTTATCTATAATACCATTATAAAAAGTTGAAGTCGTCTCAAATAAATCATAAATTATTAAAAAGAGTTTTGTTAAACATGCATGAATATGCGTTTCATCTTTGCATGTGAATTTGTCCTTATGTCAAGACTGGGTGTCAATTTCGGGTCACGGGTCGGGTTCTAGTAGAACCCGAAACTAACTAGACACTATTCGGGTCAACCCGAACTGATCAGTTTTTGCAAACATGTTTGTTTTTCGAACCCGAACATGACCCGCTTCTGGTTCGGCTTAACCCGACACAACTCGTAAGGAACGACTTGACGAATCGACGACAAGAGCTTTCTTTCATTCGCGCGTTTATTTAGCCATATCCCGCAAACTCCGTTGACGACGGAAAGCGAGGTGGCACCACGACGACAGCAGGCGAGGCAACACGGCGGAAAACGACAAGGCAACGACGGGTCTTACCTACTCGCAGTCTAGCCTTCTAGGACCTATGTCTCGCGACTCTTGCGAGATGCAGACGTGATGACGGCCTTGACGGGTGAACATCTGGACGCGATGAAGGGCAACCTCCGGTGGATGCTTGCGGACGGCGGACGGGCTCATACGATGCCGAAACATGACGGACTGATGCGGACGCGGATGCGACTTGAGGGTTTCCATGTCAGTTCGGGTTTGCGGGTTGACCCAGACCCGACCTATTTTTTCAAACGGGTTGAATTTCGGAACTCAAAACTGACGTTTCGAGCCAAGGTTAACCCTCACCCGGATTTTTTGAGTCAGATTCAAATTTTTAGGTCGTGTCTAATATTGATACCCTCATGTCATGTCTTCTTAACTTCTAATCAAAAGAGTAGCTTATATGTTGGCTGGATTTCGTTTAGGCTAGCGAAGCGGAATTTTCATCATATTTAATGGCGCTCCTATATTGCTACTTTCATGAATCAAGTCAATTTTCATTGGATTATCTCATACTCTGTTATTAAATTACCTCTACTCATCGAATTAGATATAGGTGAAATAGTCAATATTGTGGGAGAGGTAGGAGTAGATTTGAGAGAGTGAATGAATAGATGAGAGTAATTTTTATAGTTGTTTTCTCTGACTTTTTATCTCAATGATTATTTAAAGGAGATCTACTTCTAAGCAGGTTTGAAAACCCTTTAATGAATCTAAACACTTTTGGTGCACAATCACAATTCAGCTTGATTCATTTACATTATCGACGACTCTATTATGAACAAAAATGATTATGTCATAACGCAAATATCTCTATTTGATCTCCCAAATAATGGAGAGATTATCTGTGCGGACACCAGACACAACTTACCATCCAGAGGAGAATCGGGTGCAGCCACGTCATCCAATACTGAGTAGTACCGAGCTCGGTACAGAGCAGTACAAAGCATCAGTACCGAGTAAGGGTGATATTGTGCATTTTCATTGGGCTCTAGGCAATGTTCAACATCCGCATAGAATAATTCATCCAAATAATGATAGATCAAATTAAAATTTCAATAATAATTATAACAAGTAACAACTCTATTTGAGACGGCTTTCTTACTACTTTTTAAAGTGTTTGGGACAACTTTCTTGCTACTTTTAAATGCAGTTAAAGTATGAGCATCAATTTCATATAAAATTTGAATGAATTTATAAGGAGATTTCTGTTCCAATGTAATACTATCTATAATAATATATCCTTCAGTTATAAGCGTAGGATTACTTGAAGAGAGAATTTCAGGTGTAGAGCAGAGCCCTTTATTTTAAGAACGACAAAAAAAATTTCTTTTACATATAAGGGCTCATTTTCTTACAGCAGAAAAAAAGCAAAAATAAATACCGAGCAAGCAAAATTACAGAAAAAGAAGGCTGCAAAGGTCTCGTTAATCTCCAAATCATAACATCTAACAAACAACATAAAATTCACATTCTAAAGCGAAAAGCCCATTAAAAACAATTAAGCCCATAGAAACCGCACTGCCTCTCGCCTAGCCCATGACAACAAGTCCAAGCCCAATCAGACCACCAAGAACCACTGCATCGCCACCGCGGAATCCGCTGAAGCCGGCGGCGCTTTTGCCGCCAGCGGGTCCTGGCGGCGAAGGAGAGTTAGGGGTGGAGGGAGGCGAGGTCGATGATCCTCCGGACGGCGTAGGGGTTGTCGGCGAACTTCCGGTCGGCGGGCTGGCGGAGCTGGCTTTGGCAACGGTGACGGCGAGCTTCATGCCGCTGGCGCAGTGGCCGGCAGTGCCGCAGATGAAGAAACGGGAGCCGGGAGCGGTGAGACTTATCTTAGTATTACCATCGGTGTGGGTCTGGAGGGCGTTGCTGGTACTGCAAGAGTCGTAGTCGGATTTGCTCACCTCCTCTGCGCTGTGGAGCCCACTATAGGTGAACACTATGATTGGTAAACATAAGGAATCAAGTTAAACTAAGGTTAATGATATTAAGTAAATAAACATGTATCAATTATTTGAATTTTATTTTTATATTTATTATGTTATGGTATGCAGAATTTTTATAAGCTTAATTATTTAAAATTTAGGCTTCATTTGAGAAAACTTTTTTTTTTTTCAAAAATAATTTTTAAGTTAAAAAAATTTTGTATTAAAAAACTATTTTACAAAGCAACAATAAAGCTACTCCAAACGAAACCTAAGAGCATTAAGAGCGAAACATGTGATTGTTCATATATACTAGTAATCATAATTTCATTTAGTTCTAGTTTTTTTTTAAAATTATTTTCTCATTATTTTATATTTTTTTAAGAAGAAAAATAACTAAGTTATTTTTTCAAGATAATTTTACGATCAACTTTATAAAAAATTGCAGCTGTCCCAATTAGGAGAAATTATTTTGTGCGGTCTCTGAATAATTCAAAGGCGAATTAGAATGCCCTACGTAACTGAATACCAAGCGGTACACACAATAAATGACGTGGCATGTTCTCATTCGTCTTTGGACGGCGTTCGTCACTCTTTTTAACTGATGTTCGATGATGCATTCTTATTTTTGTGATGCATTCTTAATTTTCTCTGAATGATGTTCGGTGATTGCATAGAATAGTTTCTCCCCAAACTGAACCTAAAACTTATAGAACACAAATTAGATAATCAAATATTTAACTAATTAGCATAGGTTCTCTGCACATTTTGTGCTCTGCACCCCAATTTCAACGGTTCCAGCTTAATTTTAAAGAAAACAGTCACATGGGCTGGTTCAGTTAATAATTGCGATGATGGCTTCCAGCTCAGTATTGATTTATTAAAATTTGAGCATATTTTATTTTAAATTAATTTGATTCATATAATCATAATATTAATGTAATTTTTCAATATATGTATTTATTTATTTTTTTTATAATTTTATATTTATTTAATAATTTCAAATATATTTATTTAATTTTGTATAATTTTAAATTAACAAATGACCTATTTGTCGGTATTATCCTTCAATTTTTCATATCACTTTGCATTTTCAGCTTAATTTTTCATAGTATTTAATTTTTTTTATAATTATAGTAAGTTTTCATCAAAATTAATGTAATTTCTGTCCAAATCAAACAAATCGATACCTCTTCAAAATGCTCAAAATATAGCCGAATTCGATATTTTGAGTTTGAATCAGTCTCTTTGATTAGATTGGAATCAATCACAACCGTAAAAAATGCATCACACGGATGGGATGAGATTAGTTTCACGTTGCAGTTTAACCCATAACTACAGAGTATTTGCACCAAAGGGAATTAGATTTTTCATAAACATAAACTACAGAGTTTTTTTTTTTTTTTTGGGACATTTAGGCCATTTAAGGCAAACTCACACACACAACGCATACACAGAGACTCGAACCTTAGACCTCTTAGTTGAAAGCCTTAGCTCTCAACCAATAGGCCAAGGTGAGTTGTGTAACTACAGAGTCTCTCTTGACCCTTTTTTTTTTTTAACATAAATAGTATTCTGATGTCCCAACAAAATTGGCATTCTGATGGGCCTCATTGTGTTGAATTTGCTTTGAGATTAGTGTTAAAAAATAATACATATGATTTGAAAACGACATTCATTGTCCTTGGATTTGTGCTACAATTAGTACTACAAATAATTTCCAAGGAGTACACTAATTTTAGCACAAATCCAAAGGCAACGAGAAATTATTACGTGCGGACGCCGAAAGCATAGGAAAGTCAATCAGGAGCCGCCACATCATGCAATGTACTGTGCATTTGGTGATGTGGCAACTCCTACTTGATGTTCAGATGCATTCAGAGTCCTAGCACTGCTTTTTTTCTTGTGGGAAAAAAAAAGTCCTTGCATATTTTTAATTCCTAATGAATTTAATGCCGGATCGTGCTTCAATATCTTTAGATTTAGTTTAAATTTACGTTAAATTAAAATTTTTGTACTTAAAAACTATTTAAAAAATAATAAAAAAGCTATCCCAAATCAAGACTAAGACTTCGTTTGCGACGGATTTCTTGTTGCTTCTTAAAGCAATTTTTTAGTACAAACATTTTAATTTTTGTACTAAAAAGCTGCTTTAAGAAGTAACAAGAAAGCCATCCCAAATGAAGCCTAAGGCTTCGTTTGGAATTACTTTCTTACTTCTTCTTAAAGCAACATTTAGTATTAAAATTTAATTTTTGAACTAAAAAGCTATTTTAAGAATCAGTAACAAAACCGTCCCAAATGAAGCCTATGACTTCATTTGGGATGTCTTTCTCATTACTTTCTAAAACAGCTTTTCATCAAAAAAAATTTTAATAGAAGAAATTTTTTAACTAAAACCTTATTTTAGAAAGCATTAAGAAAGCTGTCCCAAACGAACCCTAAGTGTGTCACTAATCTAAGCATTAATCCAAAAATAATGAAACCATCCTATCATTTTTTCCATTGATACATCTAAGGCCAATTTTTTCCCCATAGAACAGATCCTTCAATTAAATTTTATATTATCTGCAAGTGAATTTTCTTTTGGTTCTAAAATATAAAATAAAATCCGGAAGTGAGTTACAAAAGAAGCTGGTAAGTGACTTACATAACGAATCTCCAACCTTGAAGACTTTGCCAGAAGCCCAAGTACTATAATCCACACCACTCGTCCACCCCTGAGAGTCACCGACCGTATAATCCTTCCCAAACGCCGGCACCGTCGCCACCACCACCAAGCAGAGAACAACCAGAGCTCCCATGAAACCAGCCATGTCTTCCTTCAAAGAGAAACTTATTTGTGCGTTGGGGAAGATGAAGCCATGGCGTGCTTTATAGGCAAAAAGATAAAGATATATTATTATTATGAAAGGCTTTCTTTTGGAAAATTAAAGAAGAAATTCTTTTTGAATTTCTTCTTAAGGCTTTGTTATTTTATTTTATCATTTACAACAGCTCCCCATGTTGGCTTTACCAACTCCGCAATGCCTTTGCCCACCTAACGCATTTGGGATATCAAATCAAGGAACTGGATTTGACAGCCAATGCGGTGTTAGTTTGGTTGAGTTAGTGGGTGGCTTCATTGTTTGGTTAATCATTATTATTATGATAATAAATTTGATTATTTGGTATTGAATAGAGGTTTAGTCAAATTTGATCTGTCTTAAACTAGAGTTTCAGTTGAATTTTAATATTTTATATTTTATGTTAAGTGTACTCGTTTTAGATATTCTGAGTCTATTATTTAGAATGATTGGGAAATAAATAAGGATATTATTCGTAGAATTCAAATTGGATGGTTGAAGTGGAGGAATGCTTCGAGTTAGTTGTGTGATAAAAAGTATCACTCAAATTTAAGGGAAAATTTTATAAGATGGTGGTGAGACTTGTAATGCTCTATGGCTTAGAATGTTGGCTCTTAAAAGAGAAGTATGATATAAAGTTAAGCGTTGTTGAGATGAGGATGCTCAGGTGGATGATTTTATAAGATGGTGGTGAGGCTTCCAATGCTCTATGGCGTAGAATGTTGGCCGTTAAAAGAGCAGCATAATATAAAGTTAAGTGTTGTTGAGATGAGGATGCTCAGGTGGCTGATTTTATAAGTTGGTGGTGAGACTTGCAATGCTTTATGGCGTAGAATGTTGGCCGTTAAAAGAGCAGCATAATATAAAGTTAAGTGTTGTTTAGATGAGGATGCTCAGGTGGCTGATTTTATAAGTTGGTGGTGAGACTTGCAATGCTCTATGGCGTAGAATGTTGGTCGTTAAAAGAGCTGCATAATATAAAGTTAAGCGTTGTTGAGATGAGGATGCTCAGGGGCATGAGTGGATTTAATCTTAGAGATATGATACGAAACAAGCGTATTCGTGAAAAGGTTAGAGTAGCTCCACTAACAGATAAGATTAGAAAGAGTTGCCTTAGATGATTTGGTCATGTAAAACGGCGGCATTTCGATGACCCTGTTAGGATAATAGATGTAATAGATTTGACCTATGTTAAGAAAGGTAGAGATAGGCCTAAAATGACTTGGATAGAAAATATTAGAAATGACTTTTCTTTATTAGATTTAAATAAGAATTTGACTCTTAACATAACACAATAGAGAAAAAGAATTCATATAGCTGATCTCATATACTATGAAAAACTTGTTGTTGTTATTGTTAAAATATCTTTTAAGAACTAATGAATAGTCTTTGTTAGCTCAAGCTTCAGTGATTAATTTTTTGAATTTGAGGCGTAATTTGCTATCTTAAATTGAATCTAAATTTGCTCATGAGACAATTTGATTAGGATCTATTTTGGACAGTTTTTTCTTAATTTTATTTTGAACATAAGTAATACCTATAAATTTTTTATTTCTTTTTTAAATTTTATGAGATAAATAACTTTTATATATATATTTGAATCTAAAATCTTTTGATTAGTAATCAAAGCTTTGAACCAATAAATAAATATGAGTTGCATTATATATTAGAATATAATAGTTATTGAAAAAAAAATGACCTTAAAGAAGTAATCAGTAATCCTTCATTAAAAAGATATTTATGAGTTGCATTATATATTAGAATATAATAGTTATTGAAAAAAAAATGACCTTAAAGAAGTAATCAGTAAACCTTCATTAAAAAGATATTTTTTATTAAAATTTTTGAAAAATAAAAAAAAATATTTTGTCAAAGAGAAAAATGTGATAATAGTTAAATAATAATAATAATAATAATAAATGCCCAAAACGAATTCTAACACTCTCTTCATTCAGATCGGTTAATCAAAAAAATACAAAAATATATAAAAAAATTAATAAAAATAAAAAAAAAAAATTCAGTGCAGTTAATCAGATTCTCGTGTCACCCGTACCTGTGGGTGTTGAAACTGGTTTTTGTTCTTGGGGCTATAGTGGGCCCCGCAATTAGTGCGTGTGGAGCTTTGTAGGTCCAGTGTGAGTTGTTCTAAATGGGTCCCGCAAATAATGCTTTGTCCTACACACTATGCATGAGGATAACGTTAAATTTAGTTATTTTAATAGTAGTATTTGCTCGGACTAAATAATTATTTATTTTATATAAATAACAAAAGTGTAAAAAAGAATTTCAAATATAACATAAAAAAATAATATCAAATTTTTATCCCAATATATTTGGCCTGCTACATAATTTTTTTTTTCTCTATTTTGCCCTATTAAGAGTCAAACTCTCATACATGTTGCGTGCGAGAATATACGCAGCGGTAGAGTTTGTAAATTCGCGTCCTAGCGTTGCACGAGTATTCCGCACACAAACAGAAAAGAGAAAGTGAACACCAAGGTTTTTACGTGGAAAACCCAAAAAGGGAAAAAACCACGGGGCCTCGCCCAGTTGTAAAGTTTCACTAGTGTTTTTGTAGATTACAAATGGAGGATTCGTCCCACAAATTGGGATAATCCGAATACAATTTGTTTCTCCCAAGAAGTTTACAAAATTCTGCAGATTCTCTGCGTTTTCCGAAAATCCGGCAGAGTTCCGGCGTCTTCAGGCGGCAGGAAGAGCTTCGGCGGTGGTCGAGGAGGTGAGGAATCTCCTTTTCCCCTTTCTCCTTCTTCTTCTGCGAATTCCTGGTGTTTCCCGAAAATCCGGCAGAGTTCCGGCGTCTTCAGGCGGCAGGAAGAGCTTCGGCGGTGGTCGAGGAGGTGAGGAATCTCCTTTTCCCCTTTCTCCTTCTTCTTCTGCGAATTTCTGGTGTTTCCCGAAAATCCGGCAGAGTTCCGGCGTCTTCAGGCGGCAGGAAGAGCTCCGGCGGCGGTGGTCGAGGAGGTGAGGAATCTCCTTTTCCCCTTTCTCCTCTTCTTCTTCTCTCTTCTGGTTCGTATTTCCGAGACGCTCAGTTCGACTGTAAGTTTGCTGAAATCGGAGTCCGGATGGTCTCCGAATTAATTTTTGAAGTTTTCAACTTGATTTTGCATCGAGATTCGCACTCGTTTAAGATAATTTTTTAACGGCGTATCAATAATAATTAAAAAAAATAAAATAATAATAATAAATGCCCTAAACGAATTCTAACACTCTTCATTCAGAGCGATTAATCAAAAAATAAAAAAAATATATATATAAAAAAAATTTTTGGTGCGGTTAATCAGATCCTCGTGTCACTCGTACCTGTGGGTGTTGAAACTGGTTTTTGTTCTAGGGGACATGGTGGGCCCCGCAATTAGTGCGTGTGGAGTTTTGTAGGTCCTGTGTGAGTTGTTCTAAATGGGTCCCGCAGACCCAATAATGCTTTGTCCTACACACTATGCATGAGGATAACGTTAAATTTAGTTATTTTAATAGTAGTATTTGCTCGGACTAAATAATTATTTATTTTATAAATAACAAAAGTGTAAAAAATAATTTCAAATATATAAAAAAAAAAAAATAAGATCAAATTTTTATCCCAATATATTTGGCCTGCTACATAATTTTTTTTCTCTATTTTGCCCTATTAAGAGTCAAACTCTCATACACATATTAAAAAAAGAAAAATCATTTCAAATAATTTATAACCAAATTTTTTTAGGTTTCTCTCTTCATTTGTTTAACATGCTATGAATCTAATTCAATTACTCTCCAAATTAAGTCACCGATGACCAATACTTTTTGTGACCGAATCATCTATCTACTACTGAATCTACGCAACCTTATCACATATATACTCATTTTACATTATATCTCTAACTGTAAAGCCACTGATCCACATAAACATCCCCATCTCTGTATCACTTAAAATAATTTATGCATATTTTTTAATTATAAAACTGCTCAACTTGCAATGCTTTATGGTGCATAATGTTGGCCGTTAAAAAAGAAGCATAATATTAAGTTAAGTGTTGCAGAGATGAGTGACCTTACTCTTAGAGACATGATAAGAAATGAACATATATGTGAAAAGGTTAGAGTAGCTCCAGTGGAAGATAAGATAAGAGAGAGTCGCCTTAGATGGTTTGGTCACATAAAATGTTGGTCTTCCGATGACCCAATTAGGAAAGTAGATGTATTATATTTGACTTATGTTAAGAAGGGTAGAGGTAGAACTAAAAAGACTTGGTTAGAAAATATTATAAATGACATTTTTGTATTAGATTTAAATGAAAAATAACTTTGAACATGACACAATGGAGAAAAAAAGATTCATGTAGTCGACCACACATAGTGGGATAAGGACTTCATGTTTGCTATTCTTGTTATTGTTCTTTTTTAATTATGAATATTATGCATTATAAAATATTATAGCTCTCACAATAATCTTATAAAATTTTCTCTTAAGAAGCTAACATAATAAAATAAAAATAGTATGATAAAAATAAAAAAAAAATTGAAATTAATTTTTGCGAATTATTTGGTACTTTGGTGCTCAATTAGAAATAAGAATGATGGCCAGTTAATAAAATTAATTAAGAGAAAACATTTTTTCCTTATAAAAAGAAAAAAATAATATAAAATTAGACTTCTCATTGTAGGTGAAGGAACCCGCCAAGGCTATCATGTCAGGAATCTGTTAGAGCTGGAATCACTGAGAGAGTGAGAGCGACCTGTTGGACTCCATATTTTTTCTCTTTATATACTGCAAGCAACAGCTTTTGATCAAATAATGATAATAAGGAGCCAAATAAGCAAACTATTTTGTAATTTTTAATTTGATAATTATTGAGAAAAAATAGATATATTTTTTAATTAGAATTGGTGGACCTAAGCTCACCTACAACTTTTATGTCATAGTGAAAGAAGCTTGTTGGATGAGGCTAAGAACTAATTGAAGAATATAGATATTATTGTATAATTTTCTGATTAAGGTTAAATTGGCTCTTAGAAAAAGTAAGGAATTTTATTTAATATACTATTTATTAGATATAAATAAAGATTAATATTAATTGGAATGTAAAAAACTAGATAGGTAAGATGTAATGGAAAGTTAAAGTGTTACTTGTTTTTGTTTCACTATATTTACAGTTTTTTTGTTTCTTTATAAAGTAATTTTACAATTGCATTCAAGCAAGCTTTTCTTACAAAGAAAAATTACCATCTTATTAGAAAACAATCTGATGAAGTTAGCTGAAATAGTAGTCATCAATTACAAGAGAATAATAATCTGTCCCAAGTGATGTCCAAACAATATCGTATAAGACATTTTACTCGCCCAACAATCTGCTGATTTTTGTAGCAATCACTTTGATTATTGGAAAGATCTTTCTATAATTTTTAAAATTTTTATCAAGTTGTGTACATTTTTTAAGGCTACTTAGTCTTGTTAGTAGCTAGGATATTTGAGTACTACCAAGCCCTTTAAATATCTCTGAAAATGATATGAAACCTTCAAGTTTTTTTTTTTTTTTTTTTTTTTTTTAAGAACCTTCAAGTTTTGTTGTAGTGACCAAAATCTAGGTTGTTGGAGATAACATCCTTATTTTGGTGGAGGATACTGCCCCCCAACTGGACAATGATGTATTCAATTCCTTATTGATATGGTCGGCTAATATTTATTTCATTTTAATGTATATGCATGCTCCCCAACATGCTTATATTGCATGTATAAATTTCCAAAGGTAAAGATTTGTAAGAAAATCCAACACCAGCATTAATGAATTTAAAAGAAATAAACATGAGATATAAACTTTTTTACATTTAAACTTCATGATTAGCGTATATGCATGACCATAAAAACTAACAATTCATGTAAAAAATTAACCAACAAAAAAGAGCTACGTGAACTTTAAAATTATGGACAGTTTGGATGAGATCTACTCAAATTAAATAAATAAAAAACCCACCAATGCTTGTTTGGTTGGTGGGTGAGTACGGTTGGAAACCTTCAATCCGTGCTCGATTCGCTTCAAGCAACAACAACTCTTAAGTAGAGCCCAATCAATTGCAGGCTAAAAAATTTCTAAGGTGAGTGTCTCTTCTAAGCCAACCAAAAATTTATCATGCCACTATACACCCTTTTGAGGGTGTCAGCAGGTGAATTCCCGTTAAAGAAAAACCTGTCCCATACAAATCCTGAACCATGAAAATTGCCTTTCAAAAGGTCTATGTTTTCAAAAGCCTACGCTACTCCTTGTTGACTTTTTCAAGAACGATAGCTAAATATGAACTTCATTTGTTTTTGTGCAGGCGAGAGAAAGTAAAAGCATTCTCCGTTGAAATAATAGACTTTCGTTATTATTACGAAATAGCAGTTTGGAATAGACGTTTTACCGCAACACTAAACTGCTCCTCTAAGCAACGCACCACCACTGGAATTTTCTGACTTTGCAGGAAAGGGCTGCTGTGGCTTGAACCTTACCTAATAAGACTTTCTTACTGTTTCTTAAGATAATTTCTTAATACAAAAATTAAAAAAATTATTTTAAGTAGTAAGAAAATAATCTCAAACAAAGCAAAAATCTTTTGAAGTAATTTATAATTTGAAAGTTCAAACGCTAAATTATCTTGCAGCAAAAAATGGAAGCTTTGCCTCCCTCTCATTCCAGGTTTTCAGCCCATATGAATATTTTTATTTTTTTCGTTTTTTACATAAATAATATACATTCTAAACTAAATAAGGTTACAAACCATAATTTAAATAGTTTAAAATGTTGAAGGGAACATCTGTACATCAAATGTAGCGCACGCCGCTGCATGGTAGGCAGATTCTTAAGATTGCCTATGCATAAAATGTATTTCAGTTACTGCTTAACTTCCAATATCCATGAGGTGCAATCCTTGAGCAGCTGGAGTTTATGGCGGCATGCGATGCTCATAATAACCTTCATTTTGCTTAAGAATTGGGACGAATCTTCGACGCACCTGAACTGGCCGCCGCACCCACATTGCTCGGCTAAGTGCACGGCCTTAACTTGCCTGCACTTCAGGCAGACCAAATCTTGTAGATGGTAAAGCCTTTCTCTCTGTCGAACGATCTGAAGGAGGGCATTCTCCATCTGTTCAAGGTCGTATGGAAGCCCACAGTGTGGTACGGCACAACGCCATTCTTGGTCTAAGAGTGTTGGATCGCGACACAAGTCGAGGTCCCTGCAGTCGTTACAATAGCTGCCAAGAAGAAAGCTCAAAGTTCAGGAGACGAGGATTTACAATCTCAGAGAAAAATAGAAAACAAATGAAATTCATGGTATAGCCCTATAGCAACACTATTGAGTAGGGGTGTCAAAATTTGATACCATATGAAAACCCAACTCGAAAATTTTGGGTTGAACCCGACCCGGATTTGAAAACCCGACCCAGATTTGAAACGGGTTGGGTTCCTGGTTTTAACCTGTTTGAAAAACGGATCGGGTTCGGGTTGACCCGTCAGGCTTTTGGGTCAACCCGAAAACCCGTTTGAAATGAGCTGACCGCGCTGCCCGAGCCTGCCCGTCACGCCTGTCCGAGGCTGCCCGCACCTGCCCGAAGTTGCTCGCGGCTGACCGCGCTACCTGCGCCTGTCAGCAATCGGCCGCGTTGTGCGCGAGGCTGCCCGCGCCCCCTTGCGCTCGCGCACACGCACTAGCATTCGCGTCGGCCCGCCGTCAGCCATCGCTATCCGGGTCAATCATGTTGGGTCGGGTCAACCCGCCAAAATAAAGGGTCGGGACCGGGTCCAGATTTCTGACCTGTTTACATAACCGGATCGGGTTAAGGTCGACATGTTTGAACCCTAGTTAGTTCCGGGATCAACCCAAACCCGACCCGAAACCCAGTTTTGACACCCCTACTACTGAGGACATCCAATTATAGCCTTCATCTAAATGATGAAACAATTGCAGTTTTAAAGAGAAGCATACCTGCAAATTACATTTGGCAGAGTGAAAGATAGGCATGGGTCACAGAATTGTGCTTCTGGGGCAAACTCTCTCACCCGAACTAACTTCAAAAGGTTCTTCCTCAATCTCTGTTGCAAAAATACTGATAATTTTAGAGATCTATCTTCAATTAAAGAAAAAAAAAAAAGCGGACCAGCAAATAAACAAGGTTAAGAGAAATGGGGATACAAACCAGGATATCATTTTGAACATTCTGATCAAGTGCAAGTACAGCACAGACATGTTTAATAAACTCTAATGCGGCATTGCCTTTGTTTGAATGAGAGGAATCAAAATGTTTGAAGACATGAGTTTCTGTATTATCAACATCAACATTGTTTTTTCCCTTAAAATGCTGAAGTGTATCGCAAACAATCTTCAGGAGTTTGTCAGAGAAATAGCAGCTAATCTGCAACATTAAGTGAAGTATTTCCATCCAATAACTAATAAATCAATTGAAAAACTTTTTGGAATTGATCTTAAATACACAGAGCATGCTACTACCTGGTCTTTCAGATATTCGTTAACAGAGGATTCAAGAGTTTCAGCAGTTGAAACAGTAATTGACTGAGTAGAGGTGGTAGCATCTCTTCTGATGTTGAAATTCGCAATTTGGGCTTTTAAATGTTTCCATGGGAGATATAAGAATTCAGAAACAATCAAAACAAAATGGTCCTGTAAAAAAAAATAAAAATAAATTAACACCTTCAATGAATATAGATAGTTTTAGCCCTCTCCAAAAAATGTAAATCATAACTGTAAATAAAAAAAAACATAAATTAATACATTCAATGAATATAGATGGTTTTATTATGTTGGCGATGAACATGAATTCAGTCCAATTAGGGGAGTTTGATATGAAGGGGAATGTAAACCTGAGTCACTTTTGGCAAATAATCAGCTATGCTCCAACTAGAAACAATGTCTACTTGTGAGTCACAATCAACATTTTCTGCAACAGAATCAGTAGATGATTTTGCCTGGATCCCTCCAAAGTTATGCTGTGTCATGCAGAAACAAAATTTACCAACAAAAAAGGTTCAAATCTAAGCCATTTTGCACTTTATCTGTTGCAGAACTAAGGTACTAAAAAACATAAGAGGAAGAAAGGGCAGAACAGATTGTTAGAGAAGGCATGTAGGGGTAAAGAATGAGTTACCTGATCCATAAATAACAGTGAATGCCAGAAGTGAAGAGGTTCAAGTTCAATCCATTCAAAAAGATCCCTATCATAGATACAATGGTAGACATACAATTAAACAACAATTTGCTAAACAGTCAATATATAACCCGTGCAGACAAGCCACATACCTTGTTTGTAGGGTTTTGATCAGACAGTCACAATAAGCACTTGCTGCCAACATATCTAGCTTTCCAGTGTCTATAATAATCTTAGAGAAATCAGCAAAGATGATAGTAGCTCCTAGCTTCTGGAACTCGGCCAAAAGCAGAGCAAATACTTTCTTCATGATCTGCCAAAAATAGAAATCAGAAGGCAATGTGATGAAAACAAAAAAAGAGAAAAAATTCAAAAATGCAAGACGTCAGAAATTCTTAAACATAGCAGAACAAAGTAAAACCTGATTAGAATTAGTCAAACTTCAACAACCTTTATTCTTAGAAAAGTAAAGAGATTTTTTTTTTTTTTCATAAATATCTTTACAACAAAAATTGTTCCAGGTGATCGTTGTACGCTTCGTAGATATGTTGGGTTTCCGGGTGTAGCGCCCCCGAAACAAATTTTGGTTGTAAGGATATTTTTTGATTTTCTTTGCAAGGATATTTCTCTTTGGATTTTTGGCTGTAAGGATATTTTTTGACTTTCTTTACAAATTTTGTTTGTAAGGATATTTTCGGTTCCCTAACAATAAAATCTCTACATAATGTGTTTAATTGTGTTGGGGCCCTAAAGACCATAGGATTTTAAAACTTTTAGGGAGGGACAATTGCCTAAAAACCTTTGTAATAAAGACTAAAAAATAGATGGATGGGGACAAATTATCTAAAGAATCATATAATAATTTTTTTAAGGGGGCAATCGCCCCCATGGGCTTATAGTGAATCCGCCCCTGGTTGCTAAATACAATAAATTTATCTAAAAAGAGAGAATATTGTCCTATCTCTATTGTTCACTCGCATAGTAAATATATACCTTGTGTAGAACTCGATGAAGTGCAGGGTCATGAAGTTTTGACATGGGGCTGTATAGAGCAATATAGATTTAGAAAGAAATCACTGCATATATCAATTCTGAGATAACGGAAGCAAGCGTGACTTCCACCAGGGAAGTTACAAATTACCTACAAAGCCACCGGTAAAGATGCTGCAATATAGCATCAGCATATTCATTTCCAGAAGCCACAGCATCAGATATACATCTTTGAATTAATTGCTTAAGCACTCGAAATGCAGGTGCACATGAGCTAGCTTCATCACTAACTTCATTAGCATCTGATCCATAATTTATGTCATATTCATATCCGAACAATGATCCTCCTTCCATTTCATCGACCAGGCTACTTTTAAGTAGGGCATTTACAGCTAGGTGATGAACCTGTAGAGAAAGATGCAAATTATTGAAGGCAAAACCTTTTTTTTTTTGTTTCTGTTTTTGGAAATGAAACAGGACAATAAGTGCATATGCAGCAGAGCCATCAAGACCTTTAATTCAACAGCTACCCTTCTATATGCTCCAGGATAAGTGAGAGCGGGTTGATTGACCTAATTAAAGTATAGAATTTAGTAAACCAAATAGAGTTGAAATAAATCTAGCTCCATAGTAACACATTTCGCCAAAACTGACTGTAAATAAAGTCAAGGAAAAAAAAAAAAATATATATATATATATATATATATCTAGCATGAAGAAGTGCTTTCCCTTAAATAAAGTCGAGGTTCTTACTTCATCAGCAAAGCATGTATCTCCCTCATATATACCTCCTAAATCTGGAATGCCATCATCAGATACCCAAAGTAGCTGTCAGATAGAACTCAGAAAATAAGTTAACTAGCGTTGATCAAAATAATCATCGAGCAGAAACAAAAAGAAGAATTTATAACATTATGGCTTGGAAAGATTTTGAGATATTTAAGAATGCAGTAACCTGCTGCTGATCGCGCAATGCTCTAGAAAAGAAGATGTCAGCCGTAAATAAGAGCCAATCAAGTTCAAAATTTCCTATTGGCACCTGTTTCAGCAATATAATAGGAGTTATGGCGCAATGATAGATGATTGGTTCAAAGTTTGAGTGTCACTAATCATTAAGAGGATTTACATGTGCATATCTGGATAGTCGGATTCTTTCAGCAAACCACCGGGAGGATGCAGCACACCTTTGCATGGCAATTTTCCCAGCTGTCACTTGCCATCCAAGAGCCTAAATAAAAGAAAAATGAGAAATGGCCTTATTGATCTTAAGGATAGGTGCATAGTAAAAAAAAAAAAAAAACCAACTCAAGTAGAATGCTCTGAAGTACCTGATAGTTGCTGTCCTGGGTGTTGCAAGGAACGCTAATGCAAGGAAAATCATCTAGAACACGTACCCCTGATTTGATAGCATGAACCTTTGGGCATTCTATGACAGCAACGGTTGGTCCATGATGCCGATGTCTGGAAATATTGTCATATTTTATAAACTTGAAAAAATTTTCAATCTATATATATTCCAATCAATTATGAGGTTTTCTTTCCTATCTTATTTGAGAAGTTCATATAAAGACTGAATGGTACCACCCATGTTAATGAAGTTAGGTGATTTGTGGTTAATGGTTTAAGCCATGCTAACACAGGAATTTTGGCTAAGGAAGGACTGTTGTTTGAGATAATGAAACAAGAAAGAAAACCTGTATTCAACTAAAACTCTTTGCACAAGCTTTTCCCCAGCTTCAAATGTACGCACATATTCCACCTGCCATTGATTATTATGAGTGATTAGTTAAGAGAATAGAAAAAAATCTGCTTAAATAATCTAAAACAGTTGCCCCTACCTTCGCAGATGCATGGGATGCCTGAACGTGAGATTCCAAGGACATTGCTTGGCAAGCTTCCCGGAATTGTTTTTCAAGAAGAGAGGAAGAAAGTTCTTTGTTTTGAAATGGGTTGACAATTACAACAGATATTGTTCCAGATACTTGAAAATATAGTACATAAATAGCCCTTCCTTCAGATAAACTGTGAATAAAAAGAACAAATAAAGTATAGCCTGATGAAGTGAAGAAGTTATTATCAAGTTAAGGGTATTGTAGCATAGATGTTAAATGCATAAGCATGGATAGCATCAATGCAATCCCATAGTAAATAATGTAGTTGTGCAAGAATCAGATGCTCCTTCCAAGGGTCCTTTCCTAATCTAGTATATAGTAGCTTGTAGCCATGTTATCCATCTTAATCATGAACACAATTTTCTTTGTGCAAATTGCCCATAGTTAATTCCATTTATTTTCCATAAAACTAAGAAAAAAAAATCCAAACTTTCCTACAACACAATGCACAAATTAAATAAGAGAAGAAAGGCACTAATATTTTCTTTTGATAAGGCATTTTTCTCAAAATCTTCTAGGAGCAGGGGAACAGTAAGCAATGGTGGGGAGAAGCGGGGCATCGAATAAAATAACACACAATATAAAGTCGACAATTGCCAATGCTTGCTCTCCAGTATTTTCTTATGACTATGACTATAACTGACCCTAGATTAGAGCATTTCACCTGTTGTTCAACTTGCTAGTCAAGGAGAATAGGCAAACGCTTGTTGATGAAGTCGTATTCTTGTGTCTGCATAGATAATAGATAAGATTGTGAACACTAACTGTGCTCTTAACATCAGGAATTAAACCTCTTACTCTGTTATTGAACCTCTTAGTTCGATCTTAGCTTACTACCCTACCTAAAAGAAACATAAAATTTTATCCACTAGATATGGGTCGAAGATGGATTCATTTGCATCAATAGTCGGATCCAATACCAGAGTATTGCTAGAATTTATGTTGTCCATTTATGGGCCAGGGCTACAAGCCTACAAGGGTCTCCATGTAATTCAAATCCAAAAAATTTCATGGCATGCTCTATTAGCTCTGAATTTGGTTATACTATGCTCTTTCACCAAATGAAAAAATTATCTTTTATGCTTTGGTATCTAAATCCTAAAAAAATAATTCTTCAAACAGGTGTTTTGATAATGATATATATAAAACTAAAACAGTCAACTACAACTATATCAACTGAATTTGGATCTAATAATAATTAGGCACCTCACTTTTTCATATATAATTATTGAAACTTAAATTTTAACATGGATTCTTTTGAAAATCTGTGTTCAATTAGATTGTCATTTAACTATTAATACGTAATTAAATAATCAAAATTTCCCATCATTGAGTCCATCCTATATAATGGTCTCCTTTGTCCTTCCAAGTTTCCTTTGAACCTTTCCCCGCATCACCAACACGTCCTCTCCAATCCTCCCCTCTTCATGGAGCACTAGTTTGCCACTTGGCAAACTTGGCAAAACATCAAATGTACCACTTTATAGTGCAACATTTATACTATAAAAGTCTCTCCGAGATACTTAAATCAGGTGGCATGCAGGCTTGATGAACTTGGATGATGTTGATTCTCTTGGGACTTTCGGTGTTTAGAATGCTCAATTTGAAGAGTCGTAAAGAGATCCAATTTTACTACAAAATTTAACCATGAAATTTAATTGATTCAAAAATATGTTTTTTCCTAATTGTCCTAACAATAGTTTTAACATATTGATTTGCGCCTATATCAGAAATATGAAAATCCCAGAATTGTGCTGGTTCAAAAGTAAAAATTCACTGGGCTTACATGCATTGACATTTGTGCAACGGACTATCTCTCTATATAATATATATTTTCATGTTTGTGCTTACTTGACGTCTATAAGATAAGCTACTTCTACAAGTGTTTAATGCAAGCACCATCAAGATCTCTTTTGCTTCATCACATACCGTCTTAGATTAAAGGTTTGTGGAGGATTAACCGCTTCAATAAAGCATGTCAATAACATTTTTTTTTTTAGATGCTGCTCTTGATTTATGAGATTATTCTTAGAAATTTTTTATTGTGTGCAACTATAATTGGGAATTGGGAAAGGTCTAGTTAGTGATCTTATTTTGTAAATAATAATATGGCTTTTTTATCAGTGGTTCAAATCCTCTATTCTCTCCCATGAATATAAGGTCGATTGAAGCTGACCCAAATAAATAACCATGTTCTCTAGTTTGGTTTTATCTTTCCCCTTTTGTGATTGCTTTAGGCATATCATTTTCAATCCTAATGATGTTTTCATGGCCTCTTTTGGCATCCACATCACACCAAACTCAACAAAAGAAAAAAAAAAAAGGATGCACCCACAATGAAAATCTTGATCTTACTCACCTATGATACAAATAAAAGAAGGAAATAATCTGTTCCAAATAGGAGCATTCAGTCGTCGTCTTCATATGCAACTCAGTTAAATTCCAGCTATCCTGTGCATTTCGAGCTTTGGCAACCTTGTCCACCTGGCAAACACAACCAATCTGGAGGACTGCATTAAATTCTAGGGGCACCTTTGTCTCATATATTCCCTGGCAAAATATAATGTATATACATTAAAAATGAAAGTTGGCTCAAAGAACAAATTATCTAAGCCAGAGAGAAAGGATAAACAAGTGAAAATTAGCATTTTATATACTTACAGAAGAATTTATCTAATATAACTAACATTAAAAAGACCGAAACAAAAGAAATCATTCATCTCTGACTAACTGACATGTATTTAGAACGAATGACATGGAATCTTCAATTACTGCATTGACGGCTTTCCTGAATACCCAGTTTCAGCGTACGCAAATTATAAAAGGATGCAGACAAGACAGAAAATTTCATTATGTACAAACAACGTTTTTGACATGATGTGAATCCGGACATGACTATCTATTGCAACAGGAAACAACTAGTGCGCAGACTTGGCTATTGTTCCTTGATTATGTTGAGCCAGTAAGCTCAGGACCATACCCAGGACTGTGTTCTCAGATCTACAAAGTCATCTAGAAGTACCACTTCTACCATTAAATTAGTTACTCATGCTACTTTACATCTGTATGTTAGTAAGAAATGAACTGATGTGTACTGATCTCTCAGGAAAAGATCGGCCTATGAATTTGCATATAATTTACACAAAAAGAACAATCTTAAGGAAAGGCAAAAGGAAGAAAGCAATGCAGAAATAAGAAATAGTAGCTTATTAAATATGCAAGATCATAAGCCTGTAAAAGCTAAAAAGGACTACTGGGTACTGACCTCAACTTCTGGATCTGCCAAGTGACTAGCAAGTTTTTTGCTTTCAGCCCGGAATTGTTCCTCGTCAATTACAACCTGTAAAAAGTGCTAGAATCACAATACTAACCACAAGACATTCCAGATAACATCAACAAGAAGCGACTTTTACTTAAACAAAAATTTCCAAAACTGGATTACCTCGATGAGATTGAAAGTAGGTCGACTATGAGGAAGAATTTTATTCACACGTCTTCCAGGAAATTCCTCAGTCACAGGTGCTTTAGAATTGAGATAAAATATTCTAGGAACGTCTAGGTTGATCTTAAGCATGACACCATCCACGACTATCCAGGCCAGGAAGAAACCAGGTTTTGTACTTGAGACAAATTGTATTACCTGGATGGCAAATTATTTCCTTTCATTTGCTTCAACTAGTAAAAGGCAAAAGTAGAAAAACCATAGTTATTGAATATCATCTAAAAAACCAAAGCCAGACCTGCCAGTGCGATTTAAGAAGGGCTAACTCATTTTTTCTGAAGAATGAATTCAATCCATTCTTTTCTCTAGTATGCTTGTAGCTTACAGAAGACACGGGCAATTTAGTAGCAGCAGCAGACTGATGTGATTCATTCATTCCAACTAATCTGAAAGTTACATAATCATTTAGGAAGAACTAGCAGCAAAGTGACAAACTCACTATTGATAAAAAAGGCAAAGAGATTACCATCCATGGACATAAACATCAATAAGTTCTAAATTGTGTAGAAATTACAGTTCAGATTATATCTAAAAAACATATAAAGAAGAATCATTTTAACCGTTTCAACTATTCCAAACTGATTTCTACAATGATCTAAAGTGATCTTAACAACTCAAAAGACGCCACTTGATAATGCCGCATGTTACATTCTTCTGTTATTGGTATGGGTAACAGATATTCAAAGCTTAATACAGAAATCCAATTCAAAATATATCTAAATTTATGTGTTAAACCAAAACAAGGATAAATAAGCTTGTTAATTTATCTATCTCACATTAGGAGAGATTCGTTTTACCAAGAGAAATGACAAAATATGCAATTCACGTTTCATTACGAGGATATCAATAAAACAATGCTCTTTTTCATAATTCTTTAGAGGTCTACTTTTTAGAAAGCATATGCTATAAAGTTTCTTCTTACTATTGTAGTTTAAGCAGATTAAGATTTATATGGTACCCTTTTGACGTTCATTAGCTTCAGTTTCCAAAATTAAATCTCAACACCAACGAATGAAAGCAAGCAAGTTGAAGAGATTTGAACAAAGACAAAAAGGAAAAGTTCTGTAAACTACAGAGTTGTATATTTATTAATGTTAAAGCAACTAGTCAAAACTTTAAACAGAGTACTCAGTAAGTAATTCTTTAGCACATGCCCACAACCAATTACCTTCTCTTCTTTCTTTTTTCAAGAGTTGTTTTCCACTTTCTTTTCTTGATCGCAAGCCAACCTTGATAATCAACATTTCTATCAATGCTTTCTCCAGAAGCATCTTTATGATTCAGTTCAATTAAAGGCTCTTGTGACATGTTCAACCCATTTGCTTGAAAAGATTGTTTTACCAAATGACTTTCTTTGTTAACCTTGGTGTCAAGAACTACAACCTGAGGCCCACTTATTAAACTATTTCCGCTGTTTACAATGTCTTCTAAGTCTCTAACACTTGCATCATTCGAATTTTTCCTTCTTGTACTGAAAATATCAACTAGTTTACGCTGGCGAAACCGATCCTCCTTCTCACGGACTTTTTTGTGCAGCCATTCCGGATGCAACACTCTTGGAACAGGATTAGAGACCTGGAAGAAAGTTCAGCTTCATAATTCCACTCAGCCAAGATAAATTTCTAAAGCTTAAAGGAAATGGGGGTTAAAAAAGGTAATGCCTCAAACCCACCTTCTGCATTGCAGCAGGAATGGTAATGATCTTTTGAATGGCTGAAGAAAGACGCTGCTTATAATAAGACCAGTCGACAATATATCGAATGCCCACACCAGATGAAACTTTACACCATTTACGCAGATAAAACCTTTCGATTTCTAAAAAAAAATCACATAAGCTAGGAAAGATTATCATTATTTGAACATGAATATTTAATTATAATTCTAAAATTAAAATAGACAAGAAGTTTAATTCTATTAAAACTCTAAAAAAGGTATAGTACCTGCCTCAGCTCCAAATATGGCAACAGGGATAGCACGTTCACTTACTGGAGTACCCTAAAATGTTGAACAGAAAAGAAAACTATAAGTTAGAATGAACTCAAGATATTCAAGAAATCAAAAGAAATCACAGCGCAACGAGAAATCTTATCAATGATTAAAGAAAATTTAAGCACAAGGTATTACATTTGTTAAAAGAAACACCTTAGGAATTCCAAACAGAAAAATATTTTGTTTTTTAAAAAAATACAAATAAAAAAAACTTTCATACAGTTTGCTATTATGCACAGGAGGAAGAATGCATTGCAAAAAAAATAACACTTGAAAGAGTTATTTCAAAAAGCACCTTAAATAGGAAAACAAGTTGATCAGTAAAAACCATTTCACACTGAACAGCGTTGTTTAGGCTGCAAACGAAAAGTGCAAAAACAGAACAAAAAGCAGCAAAACACCTCCAGATTGAAATCAGTGAAGAAAATTGTTTTAGCTGCCTCATGTAACAAACAACAAAATCCATCCTATCAAAAAAAAAAGGCAAGCACAACATTATATGCAATAGAAAACTATGCAAACTAAAATGAAGATGAACCAAAACAAGATCACAGGAATGTGAAAAGAAAAACTAGACTTTTTTTTTTGTTTAAATAAGAAATACATATGCTGAATTATAAAGAAAAAGAATAAATAAAGCATTTTTTGTTCTTGATGGAAAATAAAGTATTTAGTATATAATCAATTCTTAAGACAGCATCAAGTACAGTGACATTATAAAGACCTATGAGCATGTAGCAAGTTAAACAAAGGCCTACGGATTTCCACCTGTGGTTCACAGGCAACAATATATTGACAATGTAGGCCCTTGTCTTTGACCATGGTATCACCAAGAAAATCAGCAAGGCGTCGAGCAGTAGTCACAGCACAAGATTTCTGTTCCCCATAATCAACTAAAGATTTGCTCATGGTGCTTGATTCTGATATATAATCAAGCAACTCACCATCAGCAATATCTATCCCTTGATTCTGAAGAAAAATAGAAGAGGTTGTTAGTCAGCATAACCTCAATCATTCTTTGTTTACCAGAGTGACGCAATAAAAAAAAACATTTTGATATTAGAATGTATAACTATATGACTCACATCTAAAAGGTCTAGCCATCGATTAGCGACTGCTGCAACAGCTGCATAGCATTCCTCTAAAGTCAAACCTTGCAGAAACTTGTCAAAAACTTCAGCCTATGAAGAAGAACAAATCAAATAGGAAAATTAAACTACAGCATGATAAACTATGGAGTTTCAGTGCTTCAAAGAGCTAATTGTAAGGTTAGTGTTGATGTTGGCATTTCAAGGTTTTTTAATGCAAATCTAATAAAAATGCCTAGTAAAGCTTATATGCTACAAGAGAAAGCTGAAATCACAAATAAGCATTTACTACTAATGATGAAAGTAGAAACAGATGAAATACAATTCCAACGTAAAGAGTTTGACCTTTGAAGAGCTTAACAGTTAAAATTAGAGATAATGAAAGTAATCCTGGAAGTTCAAAACATAAGCATGAATGAAACCCTTCATGCATGGAAAGCTAATGTGCATGGGAACATACTACAAGGTCCAAAAACTACAAAAGGATCATACCTCAAGCCACACAAATGAACATATGAAGCAGAGGGGATAAAAAGTTTCAAAAGATCCACTTCATTCAACTTACTGGCCAAGTGAGGTGATAAGGAGGAAGCTTGATTCAAGAAGATGCTTACATCAACAAGGAATAATAGCTGTACTTTCATAATTTAAGAAAGTAGGATTAGGATTTTTCTCCAATAAATAGTAGAAAATGTAGTAGCATTTTTCATTCAATTAATTGAATTGAATGATTGCATTATCACGGAGAAGTAATTTTTTTTATTTTTCTCTTAAAATACCCTCTCTATCTCACCCAGGGGCAAAGCAAGGAGTTTTTCCAAGCAAGGTCATAAACTGATGATTTAAAAAAACTCTCAACCTTTTTAATTCAGGCTTGAGATTGACATTGTGGGTTTAAATTTTCAATTTTAATATAAAAAATAAATATATGCTTATAAAAAACTCACACGTAAAAGCATCACCAACAAAATTTTCTTCATAATTAAGTCAAGCATCGCCTATTTTATATATATAGTTTATGTAAATTTAAATATAAATCCATATTATTTAATATTTTAAAATCCTTTTTCTCTATTCTAATTAATTATAATTTTCCTCCATCTTTTTTCTGCATGAAAAGCTTTTCCGATTCTTTATATCTTGACTTATCAAATTGAAATGATGACATTTAATGCATCAACTTTTAATTGAAATTGCCCAACTAATATACTTTCTAATATCAAGTTGACAAAAGAGCAAGCATACCTTTTCCTCTCTGGTGTTTTGAACAACATGAGGAGAAAACCGTAGCCTCCCCCAGGGCCCCAATTGTAGATACGTCTCATATCTCAGCCTAGCCAACTCTAAAAAGGCGACGAGGCAAAGAAGAAACAAAAAAAAGAGTAGAAGATAAAGGGAGCATGTCAAAGTTTGGTACTCTAGTTCCTACAATTTTAGTATTTGTTCCTTCCTCCTTAAGCACGTCACACCTCTCGCTCCCTTCCAACTTCTCACCTAAATCTTAGTATTTGAGCCTGACAAACAAGAGGTTTAACCAATCTTGATTACTTAATACAAATGTCCACCACATGCCAAGCTACAAAAGAATTATATCTAAAATAATATGTTCCAAGAACCACGACTAGACTCCTAGCTTTTGGTTTTTGAAACATAAATACTTAGCATTTTCGATTAAGTGGAGATCCATTTGAATCATTCCTCCAATCCGAGTTCAATTCAGTATCAAAGTGTAGATCTTACAAATTAAATGTGAGATTATCAAATGATAAATACAAGAGCAACAATCTAAGACCCATTGATGCAAATTAGTCCACAACTACAAAATGAGTACTCTACATCACAAACTACCTCCAACCTAGTTCAATCCAACAATCAAGCTCTAAAAATAATGGCACGATCTAGATTCATAAGAAAATATAGATCCTACTTCTACCCAATTGTACACTAGCATGAGTGGAGTTGATGGCAAAATCTAAAATGAAAGCGTAAGTAGCTTATGCACAACTATACCATGAAGGCAGGTAGAGCATCAGCATGCAAACCACCCTAAAAATCATTTTAATTACATATTTAATAAGGGTATATGGAGTATGATGAGAGTTTAATATAGATAAAGGACCAAATTGGTCCCCAGCTATTTTGAGGGGCAAATTTGGTCCCTCAACTCTTTAAAATGGGACCATTTAGTCCTAACATCCAAACTAATGGAAGTTAAACTTAACGGTGTTAAAAAATAGGGGTATTTTAATAATTTTTAATTAAACTACAAATTAAATATATTTTTGAGTAATTATATATTTGTTTAAATTTATTAATCATTTGTTTAATAAGAGAAATTAATAATTATTTTAGTTATAATTTTTAAAATTTTAGTCATATATTAATTATTTAACTTAACTAATAATATCTTAGGGATATTAACTAGCTTAATTATCTAATCACTATTATAAATATTAATAACTTAAATAATTATATAACTACTATTATTATTTACATTATTAAGAACTAATTTATTTTTAAAATTTATTAATTTATATTAATTAAATTACATAAATTAACTCCCAAATGATTTGCTACTCTTTCTTCTCTTTTGCATTATTCGTTGTTGTTGGACACAATAGGGTTTTTAATGAGTCGCTAAAGCCTTTCTTCACCTCCTTCGACGACGTTCCTTCCTGTTGAATCAAAATTCGCAAAAGTTTGCCGATGTAGCAACAAGGGGGTTTTGAACGAGTCGTTAATGCCTCCTTCGACGACACTCTTTCCCGTCGAATCAGAAGTCGCGAAACTTTGTCATTCTTCCTGTTGGGTCAGATGTAGCGACTGGAGCTCGTTCACTATGAACGTAACTATCGTTCCCCTTCTTCTCTTATTATTGAGTTTAGAGTTTCTCAAAGGCAAGTTCTAAGCCAACAAATGCAAAATTCGTTGAAAGTCTAAGAACAAAGGAAGTAGAGGAAGGTCTTCCAAAACGATAAGCAAGATGGTGAAAACTCTAAGAACAAAGGAAGTAGAGGTAAAGACTTTACTCCTACATTGCAAACAAGGATCACTTAGACTGAAACCAATGGATGTTATACGTTGAGAAGAAGCAAAATAGAGAAGAGGCAAAGAAGACTTCACCATCATAGCTACGCAATTAGTGGAACAACTAACAATGCCAGATATTGGATTAGAAACTTTGATGATGCATGGAAAAAACAAATAAAAGAAAGAACTCTCCCATTTCAATATCCATATAAAATCCTAAATAATTAATGCAACTATGCATGTAAAATTGGTAAGAACATAATCATTAAATCTCTATTTGAAAAACTAAGGCTAGATGCCGCTCCATACCAAATCCTTATGCTTTAGGGTAGATCACAAAAGGTATAGCACATTCAAGTAACTCACTATAAGGTTTGAAAAAACTGGATATTTCATAGATACCATCACATAACACTCTCTAATAAGAAAGAAATGTTTTGATACCAAATTGATGATAGGGTGTGAGGAGAAATTCCTTTTAATCGTCATCTTCATAGCCTGCATTCTCCATTTGAATTCAATTGTAAGGAAGCTTTGCAACTAATGCTAGAAAAGAGGAAATGTGTAATACTTTTCCCTTCCCATTTACACTTGCCATTAAGGGAGAAAGGAAGGCTTGAAAATTCTCAAGAATAAAGAGATTGAAACTAGAGAGAAGGGAACTTGTAGGTAAGCAGAGAAAGGAAGGCGAATAATGAGGGAATATTTTACATGTCATTCATAATTCAAAATTTCCAAGAGAAAAGGACCAAAATGGTCCATTGACTCTTTATGAAAGACCAAAATAATCCTTAACTCTATTAAATGATCATTTTGGTCTCTCAATTCCTTAAAGAGAAATCAAAATAGTCCCACAATGGGACTATTTGGATTCTTTTTTAAGACTTGAGTGACCAAAATGATTATTTAATATATTTGGAGACCATTTTGATCCTTCATAAAAAGTCAAGGGATCATTTTGGCCCTTTTCTCAAATGTCCAATAACATCCATTCAAATCCCATCTATGAAATAAGGTTAAAAGATAAAATCATATTAGTTTAAAACTTAAATGCAACTAAGACCTAAAATCTTATCATCTAATTTAAAAGTAAAGATAATCATTAAAATTAAATGCAATAAATTTGATGTAAATCCTAAAATAACATAAAATACTAGGACAATGATCTAAAATTGTTTTTGATGTCTACCTTATTGTTTATATGAAATTGGAGATGGTGGAACCAATTCATAAATGTCACTTGAACATTTAACATATGTAGTCTAAAAATACAAATTAAAATCTGGAGGCTTTGGTTTTGGATATAGCCATGCTTTACATATCTTTCTGAGAGCAGCATCATAGAAGATCCCTAAGAAGACATGATAGTGGTGAAAATGATAACATGAACGCAACTTGTACCATTTGAGAGTAGATAAAACCAATTTTAGAAAATGTGGATAACATGCATATCTGGAGAAATATCTTGCAAGAATATTAGAATTTATGAATCAACCTATTCATTCATCCTAATATTTGAATAAGTTATTTTAGCAAAAAAAATAAGCTTAGCATAACCTCAGATTTAGGCTTCAGAATAATCATGAGACCATATTTTGAGAATAATGGGAGCCACAATAGCAACTACCTTTGGAGGAAATCTCTATCAAAATCCCTCTCCACTACACACACACACTCTCTCTCTCAAAATAGTCTCTCTAAATGTTTTCCCTCTTCCTCGTGAATGTGTCACCAATATGACTCAAGGAAAATGGCACATTATTGATCTTTTCACATGCCCTTGTACGCATCTTTTAGCAGGGAAACTATATTATGCTATTTTGCATTTTCTTTACACAGGGAACAACCTCAATGGCTTCCACCTTTCTTGATGAGTAGAAATGAAATCTCTTATTCAGCGCTCCACACACCACCCACACTACCTATCTGTCTTTCTTAATGCACTTGGGACTTCAAGTCTCTTATGTCACTCATTCACGCCTTTCTTAATATAGTGGGCCTATCACGAAATTTTTATACCCTTTTTGTATGGGGGGAATGCAAGATTTAAAATAATTCATTATAATCATCAGACCCACTACAATATGGCTCGTTATAGTTGTCATATTGATAATAGCAAGAGTTACAGTTCGAAGTGTAATCATAAGAGTTCTATAAAAGATAATTGCAAGATTAAACCAATTTCAGATCATTTTTAAGCTCATATATATACTCGATTTGAATATATCAACTAGCCACACAATTATTGAAAGATGTCATCTATTAAATATGTGGATTTTACCAAAACAATATCTAAACAACAGAAAAGAATTACCTTGTCAATTTGATCAACTAAAAAGGTATTCAGATGCTTCACAAGAACATTGAGTCAGGCACTTGATAACTACAGAAAGGATACCATCAATTATTTATAGAGTGCATATCTATAAGCGCACACACCTCATTGCCAAAGGACTTCAAAGTGACATCAATGCTATGTCTTGAATTATAACTTTGGAAACAGGTTATAATTTGTTTAGATCTTACAAATGGTTTAAAAGCCTCAATCAAGCAATGAAGAACACCAACTATGACAGAGAAAAACTCTGAAAAGCATCTAGAAGATGAATCAGAGCTATGATTCTTCTATAAGTTTGGACAAAATACTATTACCTGGAATACTTTTATGAGCTTCAGCTCCCCTCTTCGCTTGATTTCAAAACCTTTCAGTTCCGCTAAGCTTCCATCATGATTAAAAACTGCATATCTCTTCTTAATTAAGATTCCTTCTTCCTTTGAAGCTGGAATGATCATTGCCTTCAAATGTTCGAAGTATAATTTGATCAGCTTAACATATCAAAAGAAAAATGGAATTTGATGTTATAATAAAAAAAAAGTCACAGCTTTTTGCTCACTTTGTAAGGTCCATCCACTTCGAACTCAATGGAGCATTCACTGTGTGTAGCATATGTCTTAGTAATAGGGTCCATAAGTGTCTAGAAAGAAAAGAGAAAAATAAATAAATTCCATGTATTAATCAATTCCATATTCAAGAGGTCTTCAGTTGCTCACCTGATATTGATCATTGGTGTTATTTCTTGCAACATCAACATTAAGCATGACGCATGGATATGAAATAGTGAACTTTCTATTTGCATCTCTACAAATATAATCCTTGATCAGCTTGTGGAAGTTATGATATAGTAGATGCATATGATAAAACATTAATTATATAATAGTACATCACATAATGACTATAAAATAAAGAGGCTCCCAAAGCAAAGTGCATAAAGCTTTAGCAGTTATGGTCTATCTTTTAAGATTTGCATTCAACAACAAGGCATTGGTTCTACATGAATGATCGAAGAGCAGTGAAAAGTGGTACCAGTCTCCCTGGGTATCATCCAAAAACAATGAATTTCCACAGCCTATCTATCTATATATAAGGCATCCCTTCAAACAAAAAGTAGATTAGGATATAAGATAATCTGATAACTAGCAAGACCACACCTTGCTAGCTAAGGAGCCATTGCTTTTGTTTCTTTTTAGCTGTATTTTTTTTCAGTTATTTTTGTGTATGGATGGATACAAAATTTAGCAGTCTTCCCTTTTGTTTTATTTTGTTGAGGGAGGTCTCTTCTCGGGGACTTCATACTACTTTGTACTCACTTGTACTCTTTATGTTTTATTAATTAAGGCAAATGCTACTTTCAAGGATGACGAGCAAGAAGGTAGATAAATTCTCTAAAAAATTATATCCCACTTTTAGCACATATGAAATTTACAAAAATATTTTTATTAAATTCTATATTAAAATTTTCAATCATTTTGATACAAAGAAGTCTATAGAAATAAATAAGTATATTAGCATTTTATAATTAATTACCTAATTAAATAAAATTAAGTATAACACAAATTTATCTTTTCAACTCAAATATATTGTAGCGATTCAGCTTTTAATCCAAAAATCATGATCTAAAAATTTATCCCAAAGAAGATCCTATAATTTAGGTGAGATGCTCAATCTTTAAAATTATGAGAAAATTATTCATGGAACTTAATATTTATCAAATCCTATAATTGACATTATGATCAAGATAAATTTAATGAATTTTTATAAGATAATATGTCTAAAGAAATTTAAGATATTGAAGATGACAAGTATATCTTACATGCAATTTAAGTATAAGGTGGTAAATTGATCCCAATACCAAATTAGCTGCTAATATACACCAAGCACTTAGTGTCTATTTAATGACTAGCCTTAATCAAATGTTCTCTCTCATTACTAGGACAGGTTATTAATCATAGGGGTTTGTGCCTATAAAAAACTTAGAACCAGATGATAAAATTGATGTTGGCAAATGGGGGGTCAAAACATGAGCCTAATTTTTGGGTTTTATTTTTTGGGGAGCCTTTAAAATCAGCTCATAAATGTTTAAATGATAATATTGACCTAGAGCTCATAAGTATACCTCTACCTTTCTTAACCTAGAAAATTATATATTGAGTTAAAACTTAAATGATAATTTAAATTGAGATTTTATATCAAATTAATGAATTATATAAAATAATAATAACTAGAGAAGTTACCTATACAAAAATAGAAATTTATTTAATTATGCTATATTTTTATATTAATGAAAGAATATAAAACTAAATACAAATATGCTAAATAATGAAATTAATTTTTAATAGTAAATTTAAAATATCATTTATTTTAGAAAATAATAATAAGTAGGTATGAATTTTTCATTGAAATTTCATTCATGAAGTTATATAAAGATGCTTAAATGTGCATGATTGAATGATGCAGTACATCCCTTTACAATATTAATTGGAGGTGCAACTTACCCGGCTCGTGTGAAATGAAAGGAATTTTGAAAAAGATTTTTTTACTATTTAAAAGGTGTCTTCTGTGACAGTTGTATTAGTTACAAAAAATACTAAGACAATATATGATTGTTATATATATGCATAAGTTATGATTGATATTCATTTTTTTAATTAATTTTTAGTGAAGTTACTTATATTTTTAGAGCAAGCATACATATTATTTAAAATGTATTGCATTACTATAATTTTGAAATATGACATGCTCACTGAATTGTGTTATAACTCACCCATATTTTGCAAACATACATAGGAATCGATCAAACTATTTAAATGACTGAAAGAAAAGAGAATGTATGTCATAGACACAACACTCTAAGAGAAAAATATTTTAAGTATTTTACTTCAAAAATACAATTGAAGTTTTAGAGGATCTTTCAATATATTGGAAATAATTTATTGATAGAAATTTTTGCAAGCAAAATTTATGAATCATCCGAATGTCTATTTCCACCTCGTTAAGTTAAGCCTCTTAATTAGGTCATGATATCACACATGACTAAAGGTTAGACTCCTTGAGAACCTTTAATTACCAATATCTAATAATTATATAAATTTTCTCCGCAAAATTTTAATCATCAAAATAGTAATCTACATAAAACAATTCAACAAAAGGACTGGATATTTTATTTGTATGAGGGTAAAATCAATAAATTATGAGATGAAGTTAGGACTACCATTTAATGAATGGGCTAAAATTAAATAAACTAAAATTGTTTTATAAGAAGAAAGAAAACCAAAACAAACTACCCTCAGAACAACCGGCTAGTGGTCACCTCACATGTAACGATAAAATAGGTAAATAGAATTGACGCCGGAGCTGAGCTGTTTGATTGTATTAACTTCAGGCTAATTTTAAAAAAAAATAAAAAAAAAATAAAAAAAAAAAAAAAAAAAAAAAAACTTAAGGGGTATTAACTTCAGGCTAATTTTATTCCATTTGGTAGCTTATATGGCTACATAGGTTTAGTGCTTGCTTTTGATTGTGTGTAGCCTACTATGTTGTTACATGTCTATAAATACCTAGCCATTCATTGTAATATGCAGATTTGGAGATTAATAAAATTAGAGTTTTACTCTCTTGTGAATTTATGTATCCTAAGATTGTTCTTAGGTGGCAGTTCTTGCTCCAAGAAGGAGTTCTTGGAGTGGTGTCCGGCGACCGCCATCGGATCATCGACGTGGATTCGTCGAGCCCCCTACGGTCCGGTGTCATTTGGTATCAGAGCCGGCAAGTTGCTGGCGTTCTTGTTCGTCACCGTTTGCCTCTGCCATCGGCGTCATTTGGTGGCGAATCGGCCTTGGTGGAAGAAAGAAAGCTCAAAGGAAACAAGAAGAAGACATCAAGAATATCAGTTTCGGCCACCCAAAAATTTGTCCTGTTGTTGCTCTCGTTTTCACATATGTCCAAAAATCCACAATTATCAAGAAGAGGCAAAGCTTCATCCAGCTTGCGGTTGGTGCATGAGATTGCCTAGCACTTCAAGTTTGCATCCACTAAAACTGGATTGGCGTCATTGGGCGAAGGGCAATCCAGCAATCGCCAAGTACACAAGTCCTTTTTGGAGATTGTTCTTCATCTTGGTTTTAAATTCCAGCCATAAGAGAAATTCGATCAGATTTTGGCAAGAATTCTATTTCTTTGTTCATGTTTGTATCATGACGTGAGCTCACGATTAGCCGATCTTTGTCTTACCACCCCAACCATATCAGCCAGCCAAACTACTGTTTCAACTTGCTGATGGCTGCAAGGCAATCTTGAACTATCTTCAACAAATAGTTCACTGATTCGTGGATCTTGCTATCTATAAAGGCATTACTCAATCGTAGTGATTCTTGCGGAAGTTGTTTCTGTCTGGAAGAATTCCTCTTGTCCGAGTCATTTGACAAGCAAGATATTTTTTTCCAGCCCAAAATAGTCTAACAAGATGTCGTCTCGCCGAAATCATCAACAAACAATTCAAGAAGCTGAAATCGAAGATTTCCTACAAGAAATCGCTCAACTAAAACTGCGATTGTCAAGAATTGAAAGAAGGAAAAATTGGAGCCCCCTTACCGTGGACTTTAATGGCGTCCGGGGCAAGTATGCTGCCACGAAGGATTTAATATCTCTCGTTTCAACTAAACCCTTAAGAATCGATGACAGCGACAAGAGCATCTCAAATGATCAGATCTCTTCTACCCACGAAGATGTGTTTGAAGAGCCACCTTGTCATTCTTCCAACTTACCCTCAACTGAATTTAGATTCGAAAAATTTGAAAATCTGTTGCCAAAATCGTCGCCTTTGCCTGTCTTTGATGAACCTGTGTACGACGTGTACGATGACGACATGTTCGGTGGAGTTCTTGATCTTGGTCAACCCATATATGATGATGACGCGAGCAAGATCTATGAAAGTTCAAACTTCGTAGGACAGGCTCCGCATTTGCTTTGTCAACTTGGAATCAGGGAAGTTGGATATGAGCACATAGATTGGAACTTCACTTTTTCACATGAAACATTTGCTTCTGAAATTTCTTCTCTGAGCTCATCTAATTTCAAGGACAATGTATGGCATGATGATGCCTGGAAACAATGACATGACAAGCATTTATCTTCAGAATATTCATCTCTAGCTTCAAGACTTCTCTCCATGGGATCTCAAATTGGTACAAGATCTCAAACATGCACCCCGAAGACTTACGTATCTTCAATGCCCATCACATCCACTTCATCAAGTTCCTTTAATGGTTTTCACAACCTATTCCATGAAACACCTTCCATCAACAACATGTCACATAAATTCACAAACCAACAGGAAGCTTTGACATAAGCTCAAATCTTGTTGCCATCCAACAACGGTGGTGGGGTTTCTCTCCAATTTTAGATGTCCAAGGATTTTCAACATGATTCCAACAACTTTTGATTCTTCTACTACCCGATCAGATGCATTTGATGTTTGTCAGAATTCAACTTTGATGCATGACATAGTTGATCAGTTTGATATCAAGTCCAATTCAACTCTTGAAGAGTGTCGTTTGCATGTATTACTACGACTCCAGCTTATGTTGAAGTCTCTCTTAGACGGGGCAAATGACACCGGGTGGAAATATACAGGCCGGTTTAGCCAACCAAACCCGCCTCCTTGTGACCAACGGGACGGGACATCTTCCTATGAGCCTGAAGTTCCTCCTACCCCGGTAGTATGATGTCGGAGTTGAGTTGTTTGATTGTATTAACTTCAGGCTAGTTTTATTCCATTTGGTAGCTTATATGGCTACATAGGTTTAGTGCTTGATTTTTATTGTGTGTAGTCTATTATGTTCCTACATGTCTATAAATACCTAGCCATTCATTGTAATAGGTAGATTTGGAGATTAATACAATTAGAGTTTTACTCTCTTGTGAATTTTTGTATCCTAAGATTGTTCTTAGGTGGTGGTTCTTGCTCCAAAAAGGAGTTCCTGGAGTGGTGTCCGGCGATCTCCATCGAATCGTTGACGTGGATTCGTCGAGCCCCCTCCGATCCGGTGTCAAGAATGCTCAAGGACATGCAAACTAGTGGTCCGCCACAACAACTTTGATCCAATCCAACATCTGCCACAATTCTTCCGACAAATCCTAACAAAACTTACCAACCAACACAACTTTCAATTTTTAGAAGAAGGATACAATGGGGTGGAAACTTGTGGAGAGAAGAAAGAAGTTAGAAGACTTGGAAGAAGAGACAAGAAGTGAAGAAGTAGCTATCAAGCTAGCGAAGAAACCCTCAGGTTTTTGACTTTGTTTTCACTTCAAAAAGCTCCTCACAACAGCCCAAATTTTTCCTATAAATAGGAGAGAAAAGGAGGCCAACAGTCATGCTCAGTCACCCACTATAGCCAACCAAAAAGGGGAGGAAAAAAGCAGCATTAAAAGGCACGGGATAACCCACCAGACAAATCGGGAAAGCCAAGGGACAACAGTAGGAACTAAACAGGCAAAGCAAGGGAAACCGGGAAAGCCAGGGAGCAGGAGCAGAAACCGAACAACCAAGCAAGGGAAAACGGGAAAGCCAGGGAGAAGGAGCAGAAACCGAACAGCCAAGACAGTAGCTCAGCCGGCTCCAACAAACCCAAACCCAAGCAGCTCAGCTGCCACCAACAAATCCGTATTAACCCAAACACAAAGCACTCAAAGAAGCTAGCACACCAAAGGAAAAACATGTCCAATGAGCACCTATACCACAAATGATCATCGGTTTCCTTCCATTATTGGGTAAAAAAAATAAAACTCAAAAATTATAATAACATAAATTAAAAACATGATTATGAAGAATTGAATGCATCAAAAGGCCTGCCCATGGATGCAGCAAATTGATAGAAACAGAATACTTACATTATTTTAAATGTGAAGTTCTCCGGGAAAGACCCTGGAAGAGCACACCAGATGCCATCTGTATCCAGTTCAAGCGGCCTTCCAATCTTTTCAACAAGCAAGCGAGCATTTTGAATGATCTTTGCCCCAGTGTAGGTAACAACGCCTGCCATTTCCATTGAGTACCATCTTGCACCCCTTCAATTGTTTCATTCAATAACATTACAATGAGCTCCAGATGTATGCAACGAGATGTAATAGAGCAATGATAGAAATTTTGTCAAGGAACCTTACTTGCGCATGACATAACCATAAAATGAATTGAGTATGCATTTATGAGCAAGCTGTAAGGAATCATAAAGAATAACCATGTCCTGTAATTTTGGAACAAGATAAATATATGAGAAAAATGTGCATCATGCGCTTTAATCAATTCATTGAGAAAGTATTCCGACCTGTGCTTCCTGGATCTTCATTGAATTTCTACTGGCTTTTGCATCTGCCAATTTTCCCTTCCAAACTTTGTTCAGCCCCTTATATTCATATCTTCTATCTCGAAAACTGAAATTTAAAAAAAAAATAAATAAATCTTGTCAATGAAGTTTAAAAATAAAATGTTTAAACAGTAAAATCATATCAGGAAAGACCTCAGAAACAGTGATAATTAATAGATACAAAAAACAAAAGCATTGAACAGATAAACTGCATGAAAACACGAACTATCAGTCAGAGATTAAGTTGGACCTTCGAACTGTATTGACATAGAAGGGATTTTCCCGCATGCAAATGCTGGCTTCTCGAACCTCCATCACAGGTTTGTCAAGAACCCGTTTATAAGCCTGTGGTTGAACAGCAGGATATATTATGAATGCGTAGAACTGAGAAACTAAATGAACTGATAAACTAAATACAGGAACTAACGTTTACCTTTTGACAGTACTTCTTCAGGCGCTCTTTCAGCTTCAACTGTTGTTCTGCCTTCGGCAGTTCAATAAAGGGCCTTGGAGTATGGCTTTCATTTGATTCGACAAGTTCTGACTCTATTTGCTTTTTCATATGATAATAATCACTGAATACAAAGGGATGAGGGATCATAGAAAAGCTAAACACAATCTGCTAGTTAAAAGTTAACACAGATTTGGCATTGAAATAAACCTTTTTTTCGCCATGTAAGTTTCCCCACGCCAAACCCATTCAAGCTTCCGGAGACAATTCTTTCCAGGACGATTGAAATCACATGCTGTGCATACCACATCTGAAACTATTGATGGTGGCTGTAGAAAAGAAAATCATCCAAATTACCAAAATTATCAATAAGAGAAAATTTGAACCTAGGAAATAATTTTGTTCTAGTAAAAGAGCAGACAGATGAAAATTCCAAAAGCCTACAATCATATGGCACTCCTGATAAAAATGTATATGGCATTTAAAAATGAAGAAGGTTTGATACAGCCAGCTGAATAAAAAGGGATTGGTAAGCTACCTGCCAGAGAAGATCGATAGACTGCAAACAATTAAAGTTAAGACAAGAGAAAGATAGCAGGAAACACAAACAACATGATGCACGTCTGACGAGAAAAGTTAAGAACATATGGCTGAGAGTTTTAACATTCATCCACAAGCGCAAACAGTTGTTCTTTTTCTTTTAGCTGTTTGGGGATCAAAGAATGGGCACTATTGGCAATAACTAACCTTACATAAACAATCTAACAAAAAGGTGACATGTGGAAACTAATAGCACAGTAGAAAAACACAGGCAGCACAACAATTAGTTAGACATAACAAAGTTGGATAGCCCATCCTCTGATAGAATTTAAGATTGCTCAGACTATCAACCTAACTTCAACGAAGGAACAAACAGCCCCTCCACTTTCAGAAAGTAGCACAAATATCTCTAAGATTTTGAGGGAGAAAAACATACAAAATAGATCTTTTTTCTTGGATAAAGATCTCAAATTCATTCATGATTTAAAATTGTGCAATATGAGGCTCGCCTTAAGACCCGCCTTTGTGCAATTCCAGTAAAAAAATACCTCGATGCTTACGCCTCGAATTTTTTTAAGAGGCTTGCGCCTCAACTTGGTTGAGGCCCGCCTCGCCTCACTGGCATGAGGCTTACGCCTCACGCTATATATATTAAAACTTACATAAATCTTGAAGTAAATGCCCGACATTGGACTCTATAAGAGAGGAGGAAGGGGAGAGACCAGTTCATCATAATGATGATTCAAATGAAGAACCCCTTGGTGATGACAGTGCGATGACTTATGAGTTCTTATGTGATATGTCATTGATATTTATTTTTGGAAATTTGAATTATATGTTAATGAAAAGAATACTGGGATTTGGGAAAGATAGAATTTTGAGTTGAACTATATTTCATGTTGTCTTATTATTGGGATATTTTGATTTCACTTCATATCTTATGCTTTTTTATGTTTTATATTATTCACTCATTAGTATATAAAAAATTTATCATTTTATGTTTACGCAATCTTTTGATTTTGAAGCTTATGCCTTAAAACGCCTTGAGGCTTACGCCTCGCCTCACGAATGAAAAACGCCTCAATACCCGAATACGCAAATTTAAACATTGCATTCATTTCAAGATCCAAATGACTTTGAATTTAATAAGTCATTTTTAAGTTCCACTTCTAATTGCAAGTAGTTAATTTAGATCTCGTCAACAGCAAAGTTTATATTAATCTTCCAAGTTGGTTATAGAAGGGTAACATAAAGCCCAATAAGCCCAACTCATATGTTGGAAGCCTTTGAGTGTGTAAAATTGCCTTAGAGATACATAAATGAGTAAATAATGCACTAATTAGAATCATTAAAAACTACCAAAAAATGGGTATTTCGGTATCTTTACCCTTTAGAGATACACGGGATACAAAGAAGAAAATCAATATAAATTTTTCTTTAAATAAAGATCATAGCATTAAAAAGAAATCATACAGCATCATCCACAAATAAGGAAAAGGCAAACCTGGAGTCTGTTTGTCAAAATGATGTTTGGATACATTGCAGCAACGTCTAAATGATAGATCAAAGGGCATTCCTCACGCATCGGATGGTCTCGCAACAACATAAGCTGTTTCAAGAAATAAAATTGAGAATCAGTATAAACGAGGAAAGATTAATATGAATCAACATTTTAAGTTTGATGTGCAATTTATTGTTTGCAAAGCTATAGATAATAAAGCAGCTTTCCCAAGTTCAAATGCAAACACATGAGGTTTAAGATCAAGTTGAATAATGTAAAGAACATACATAATTATGAGGAAATATTACCAAGTAAAGACAGAATATAAAATAATTGATAACTTCCAATATGATAAAAAATCTATTATGATAGCACTCCACCTTAAGCTAAAGTTATTCGCTTAAGAAAACACGGCGCTACGGCATAAACCCTGCTCTCTCAAGCCTAAGGTCCAATTTTTCCCCGAGGTAGATTGGAATTTAAATTAACCAAATTTCCTCCGATGAACGACATCAAGGTTTTTTTAGTTTTGATGTTCCACTTCCTATGAGTGCAAGACCTCATAGTTAATTACCCTTCCTGACGCATAAAAGGGAACAATCGATTAAAAATGAATTGATTTTTAGATGTGCAACAGTTGTAAATTTTGTTTGTGAGGGATGGAGGTAAACCCGATCAAGATCCCAGGGTTCCATCGTTCCGGGTATACCGTAAGTTTCAATCTACCAACACTAACAACCATTATTGTAGTATCCAGAGAATCTGATTAACAACTATGGGTTGCCTCCTCTAAAGCTATTTCCCGTGCTGACTGGTTGATAATGGTGGGATCTAGAGTAAACTGAAGTGGATAGAAATAGATTATTTGGTTTGGGTTAGGACATGCAGCTCCGCTTAGGAGTTGCCCATAGTTTAGATTTATATTGGGTCTTGTGGCTTCGTTTAGGAGTTGTCTGTATGTTTGGATTTGGGTCGAGATTTACGGCTTTCATTGAAAATAGCCCGTGTAGCGGGTCTTACGGCTTCCCTTGGAAGTAGCCCGTATACCGGGTCTTACGGCTTCGTTTATAAGTAGCCCGTGAATTAGAGAAGTTGGGTCTTATTGCTTTCATTGAAAGCTACCTGTGTAGTAGGTCTTACGGGCCTCTATTAGAGATTGCTAATGTTATCAAGGATGCTTTATTTGCTCTGGCAAAGTTTTCCCTAACACCCTAATTAAAGTATGACTTACGGCCTCTTTTTTTTAGTGAGTCTTATGGCCTCTATTAGAGGTGGCTCATAGGGTTTAGGTTGCTTTTACCAAGAGATTTCCCCTAAAGTCGAACTTACAACTTCTATTAGAAGTTGTCGGGTAGGTGTTTACTGCTTCACTTAGAAGATTTAATTAGTGAAATAGTTACCAATAGAATTTATTACTTCTATTAGAAGTGATCTATAGGGTTGAGATTAGTAACAACATAGTTTTACGCATTTCACTGCATCGACACCAACATTAGCGTCTTGTTTTACCTACAATAGCAGCTTAACTTTCAGTACTAGCAATTTTAACTAGTTTTGCTTCAGAACTAGTCTTGCCTACAGTAGTAGCTTTGTTTCTTTCCATTAATAGTTTTGTTACACCAATACTAATTTGTTTTACCAGTACCAGACTGACATTTTTGCTTGTTTACTTGCAGGCACATCATACTTGAGTAGCTTGGAGAGCTCACAGGTAGCTACAGCTGAGCCTACTACTATGAGTTAAGAGTTTGTTTGTAGAGTTTTATTTGTTCAGATCTGTTTGCATTTAAGAGTTGGTAACTTGTACTTGGGTTGGATAGTGGCGAAAACATGATTTTCTTTAGTTTACATCATGAATATTATTCTTTTATAATATATAAAAAATTGTACATCCAAACTGCTAAGATACAAGATAAAATCACTAGACTAAGGCTTTGTTTAGGGCGGTTTTCTTACTACTTCTTAAAGCAGCTTTCTAGTAAAAAAATTTTAATTTTTGTACTAAAAAATTGCATTAAGAAGCAGTAAGAAAGACGTCTCAAATGAGGCCTAGGTCCAAATCTGTTCCTTACCATTCTAAAACAACAATTATAATATCTGATGAACGAGAAGCACAATGAGATAAATAGTTCGAATATAAAGTTCAAACAAGCAAGAAATGAACATAATATGTCATGTTAATCACTGGAACAAATATGAGCATTAGTATAGATAATATAGCTAACTCAATGCAATAGGATTTAAATTAGAACAAGTTTCATTAGTTAAATATTTAGATAACTCATTCATAAGTTATTGTATAAATATAATAGCAACACCAACATCAAGCCTTTTATCCCACTACATGGGGTCGGCTACATGAATCATTTTTCTCCATTGTGTCATGTTAAGAGTCAAATTCTCATTTAAATCTAATAAAAAATATCATTTTTAAAATTTTCTAACAAAGTCTTCTTAGGTCTACCGCTGCCCTTCTTAACATAAGCCAAATCTAATACATTTACTCTCGTAACCGGGTCATCAGAGGGTCGACATTTTATGTGACCAAACCATCTAAACCAACTCTCTCTAATCTTATCTGCCACTGGAGCTACTCCAACCTTTTCACGTATATGCCCGTTTCACATTTTATCTCTAAGAGTAAAGCCAATCATCCACCTAAGCATTCTAATCTATGCAACACTTAATTGTATACTTCTCTTTTAATGGCCAACACTCTGCACCATATAGCATTGCAGGACTCACCATTATCTTATAGAATTTTCCCTTTAAGTTTGAGGGGTACTTTTCTAACATAAAACAGGCCCGATGCATTCCTCCACTTCAACCACCCAACTTGAATTCTACTAATAATATCCACGTCTATTTATTTCACCATCACTATAAGTAGTAGTATAAATGTTTGCAATATATTAAACTATAGCTATTAAATATCACATCATTTAAATGTGCTAGGTTAGTCTAGTGTTAGCATCAAATTTCTTATTTATTTTCATTTTCCTTCTCATTCCTATTGATCATTGTCTTAAAATTATCATATAATATCAATATCGTAGTTTAAAATTGCGCAATAAGAGGCGCGCCTCTACGCAATTTGACCCCTAAGAGCCTCATTGCTTAAGCAATTTTTGGACTTGGTGAGGCTTACGCCTCATGGAACCTGAGGCGCGCCTCAGAGGCGCAATTGCGCAAATTTTGGTGAGGCGTACACCACATGAAACCAGTCCCACTCACTTAAGTTCATAATAAAAAACCTCATTTCCTCCTTCCTTCTACCGACCTACCAGAACTGAAGAAGAGCTCCGCAAGCAGTTTGTAGACTCCACACAATCCCACCCTAGCTTCCCTCGGCCGCCTTCCTGCCGGCACCGCCTCACGCCGATGAGCCTCTTGTGTCCGGTCGCCCTCTATGACACTTTTTCAACCGATTTTATGGTTTTTTTTTTTTAATTAAAGGTATGATTTTTCAACTTATAGAAAATCTAGGGTTTAAAATTTTTTGAGATTTTTTATTTGATTTTGCATTTGTGCATTAGGAAACATGATTATGGGTATTCATAGATACAATTGAAGATGAAGATGCCTCCATTGAAGACCCATGTAGTGATGGGACATGATTGGATTTTAGATGTTTTTTCTTATTTGTACTTTAGGAGTTCTGATAGACTTTAATTTCTAGTTTTGTACATTTAATTATGCTATTAGATGCATATATTGCATCTATTTTTTTTGTTTTCCACTAAGTTCACTTCTCTTTTAAATGTTTTTATTGTATCATAGACTCTCACTGCTATTTATCTGCTAGAATACTTAAATTCTCATTTACACAATTCTTCATCCGTGAGGCTTAGGCCTCACACCGCCTCGCCTCACGGACGAAAAACGCCTCGAGGCTTATTTCCGCAATTTTAAACCTTGATCAATATAGGCTTTGGCAAATTTATAATTTTGATAATCACCTAGTATATTGGTCATAATAACCATTGAAAAGGTTTGGACTTAATCTAATATAATAATTATCCATGGCCCATCAATCAAGGTTAGATCATCTCATGCTTCCAATATCAAGAGTCAAGAACCCCTATTTGATCCCTAAGCCTCATGTCGTCAGAACTTTTTCTTCTCTACGGGCAAATCTATGGGCAGATCATCGTAATCTACCAACTTATCCCACACGACATGAATTTTCATGGTGTTCTTTTATATTTAGCATCATTGTAATAGGCTTTTAAAATTTTATTCAAATGTTTTCATGAACCTACATTAACTTGTAACTGAGGTATCAATATGTAATATTCAAAATAACATATAGCATTCGAAATAGTATATAACTCATCCATGAAAACAATATGGCTTTGTATCCACAATTTGATTGAAAGTTATTTATTCCACAAATTTGTTTCTGGAAATATCCATCACATAATCTCAACAAAGATATAAAGATGAGCACAAATTAATAGAAACATTTATTGTAAAGAATGCAACTATTCCACTTAACTATATAGCAACATTACTGCATTTCCTTATTGTTTAGAGCATCGGAAAATGGAAATGACATGAATGCAACTATTTGGCAAGAATAGAAAACTACGATATTGTCTTTCCCAACAACAGCAACAACACCAAACCTTTATTCCACTACATGGGGTTACCTACATGAATCATTTTTTTTCCGTTATGTCTTATTAAAAGTCAAATTCTCATTTAAATCTAAATAAAAAAGGTCAGTCGAATAAAACATTTGAAGACAAAAATTATATGTAATAGAAAATTCGAAAAATTTAACCAAGCAAATCTTCGATGACTTTGACTGAAGCTTATAAAGGGCAAATAATTGGATTAAATGAAGAAATAAAAAAATATTAGAAATGATCTTTTTATTAAATTTAAATGAGAATTTGACTCTTAACAGGACACAATGGAGAAAATTGATATATATAGCTAACCCCACATAGCAGGATAAAGGCTTGATGATGTTGTTGTTGTTGTTATGAAAAAATAAGGAAACGCAGAACTCACCTTATCCAATATAGCATTTTTTACATCATCATAGTTTGCAATAGAATCAACATCAACTTTCCCCTCAACTCTGATTGCATATTGCAGATCACGATCAAGATTATTGATTAGTTGCTGAAATGAACGGATACGTCAACATCAGAAATATTAGCATATTTAAGTAAATACACCATTGTAAGTCACGAAAGAAGATCTAACAAGAAAACGCTAAGCAATAAAATACGAATTTATATACCAGAGATATTACAATTAGTTAACATAGAACACTAAACAAACATAAAAGAAAAAAAAAATAACAGACAAAAACAGTTCATCCACTGCGGACAATCCCACATTCAAAAAAATCATTTCTCAAAATATAGATAGCTCCATTATATTATCAGTTTGACAAGATAGAGTTAACAAAAAGACAAATCAACTATCTTAAATTCCAAAGCCTGACTGAAGACAATGAAGAAAAGAGCAGATCACTATTGATATGTTGAACACTGCTAAACAATCTGGATTTCACTGAATTTCAGGAACAAATCATCTGCAACCTGGCCATTTTATGGTGTTGTAATATACGCTTCACCAAAGAGGATTTAAAAAAGAGAAACAAGAAATGTAGCGCTAAAATCTACATCAACGTCTAAATTTTAAAATTTATGAAATCAAGAAGCTCCTGGTAAACCATGTTGAAAGTATAAAGAAAGTTTCCTTTCACTCATAAGATCACTAAAGATTAATAGAGTTGACAGTCTTGAAAAGTCAGAAAATAAGAGAGAAATGGTTACATAGGAAAGCATTTATCCTAGACAAATTTGCTTTATCATTCTTATATCATCATTGTATCAGCATCGCTATTGCCAATCAAAAGCTTGGAATAAGAAACATTGTGAGTTGATGTAGGCCAACAAACAATTGCAAATTTATTCCAACAAACGATGGCTTTATTTTTTCTTCCATAGCTAAACGAACAAGGAGAAGGCTAGGTTTAACAGTCTTTGTGGAGTTTATGGATAAGGTTTGTGCTTGAGAATTCTTGAAGAAGGGTCTTTGTGGAGCTTATGGATAAGGTCCGTGCTTGAGAATTCTTGAAGGAATAAATACAAAGAATTAAATATTGTAGAATAACTTGAATGTGATTGATGGAGGGTAGAAGAATTTTACAAACACAGATTGGAGTAATTCTTATGCATAACTTGGATCAATTGAGAGAGAAACTACAATCAGCATTGAACAATTTAAAGCACACTATAACCATCAACAATTAATGATAATTAAAGCCCATATAAAGGGTCAAATTTATAAAGATGAAAACCCTAAATCAAAGGTAAGATTATCTTCATCTATGGTCTAATATGACATGGGTAAAAATTCTTTTACGAGTTTGTCTTTTCAGTTACTCAACATATGATATTGTACTATGACATTGACAATGAAGTTACCATCTAAATTGCCATCAACCTTTTATTGATTGAAAAAACCAAGCATATTTTATTAAAGATATTTTACTTTCATGAAGATTATAACTGCTCATATTTGTAGCTCAAAATAAATGGTTGATAAGGTTCTCCAATTTTCTCATTTCTATAATAAGTCATATTTCTAAAGTACTATAAGGAGAAAAGATGGAAGTTAAAATAAGTGCCAAACCGATCAAGAGAATTTGATTAAGTTACAAGCATTAAAAATGATAATAATAAGAACAAAATTAAAAAAGAGGAACCAAGAAAGATAAAAATGTTATTTCCAGAATTCATTAAATAAGAGTTTTAAGGAAGAAATCCTTTATAGGAAGATAATGAATAGATAATAAACTATATATATTTATCCAATAAAGAGAAATGAAATTTATTACTTTTAAAAATGTATAAAGGTAAATTATAGGTACAAATGTGATATCTATTAAGATTTGAAAACATAATTGATGATAATTAATTTGGTTAACAAATCATTTCAATGAAATGTAGAAGACAAAGAATAATAAATGATTAAAAAAGAAGCCTTTAGTTACAATTATTTTAAAAAAAGAAGTTTTGAAGTATGCCAGTTACAATTAAATCAAGTTTATGATTTATATAATAAAGTTTTAGGAGATAGTAATAGAACATAGAAAAATTGCATTCATACGATAATCAATCTAATTTTATGTCAAGAAGATCCATTTGATGTAATTTTAAGATCCATTATTTCTATGTGAAAGCAATTAATAGAAAATAATCTTACAACATGATTTAAAAAAGAGATCTTAGCAATGATCACTCCAGATTATTTGCAGTCACTACATAGTTAACAATCATGCTGAAAAAGGCATCACATCTAGCATAAACAAAACAGCATGATCCAACTCAATCTTCATTCACTTGCAAGGAAATTATCCATATAATCACAAAATTAAAAGTTAACAATCTGCAGTTAAACACTAAAGTTAAAGCTTTTTAATTAAAACCCCTAGATAAGCAACAAAATTTTGCAAGATATCTATTAAATATTAATGTTTTAGGCAACTTGTACTCCTCTTTAGGCAACAAGAAAATAACCTCATATGAAGCTGAATCAAGCTGAAATTTTGTAGGTAGATCTGCTCTAAAAACACCACATTCAAGGCATTCAACATGGCCTCCAATATATGTTTCGCTTTCTAGAAGCCTGTTGTTGTGGAATTTCTCATGATCCTCCCGATGTTTGTTGGGACATATCACGTTGGCCCTGTATGCCTTCAAAATAAAAAGAAACATTGTTAGTATTTTCTAAGCTGGAAAAAATACTAAGCAAGAAAAAAGAAGTTTCCACAAGTAATATTAAACAATAGCAAATTTCTTAGAAACAAAAAACCACTATATCAGTACAAACAAAATGAACAATAGTACAATATGTTATTTCTTAACATATTGCTAAAAAGAGATCATATTAGTTCAGAAGACAGGAAAACTTGCATAATTGAGGGAGTTTTCATTGTGAAACGGAAATGCAGCAAAAGTGGAAGTATGGAATCAAGATCATTAAAAAAATGGTGATAAACTAAAACCAACCACCCTAACATGCACATTCAGTTCGTACTCATTGTAAAAACGACAATGCAGAAAAAGTGGAAGCATGGAATCAAGATCATTAAAAAAAAAAGAAATGGAGATGAACTACAAGCAACCACCCTAACATACATTCATGCGTAGTAAGATAGTTGGCAAATGATCAATTATTTTAGTTAAAATTAGAAGAATTCTTTAAAATTAACTTAATATTTCTCGAAGAGTGTAATGTAATATTAATGAAGGAAGTATTTAAATAAGTTTCATTTCTTGAAAAGAGGATTTAAACAAATAAGTAGCCTGATCATGTAAATCTAACAAGTTGTTTAGAGAGTAGCACAGATAAAAGTACATAACCAGTAACATAAGTTGCAAAACATTAAATAGAAATTTTTTTGTTTAATTCAGCCCCATTCACCACAATAACCACTCCGAAGTCGATTCAATTAAATACGACAAAAATGGCAAGTGACAGACGCCGCAAATGCTGCCCGAAAAATGCATTGACCAAAAGCCAAAATAACCCGAACAACATCCAATTGCAAAAAGGACTATGCTAATGCATTCGAGACAACATAAATAACACGAGAGGCGAGATTTTTATAGAAAAATCAACTCTTTAGCGGATAATTTAAAAAAAAAAATTATATGTTATCGAGTAGCCAACTGATTGAATTTGGATTCACCTTTTTTACCCATTTATTAAACAGGCCGGGTTCAAATCAACAATAATCAGATTAGTCTCATTTTGGGTTAGACCAAACCAGACTCATTAACATTTTTGACACCCCTACATGAGGGAAACTAGGCCCTCATGTTTTATAAAAAATAAAAACCTCGCCCACTCACTCTCCCTCACCCAACCTCAACCTCCTATCTCTCCCTCTCATTTTCTCTCTTAGTGTCTCCAGGGAACACATGACCCCCAACCCTAGCTCTTCACTGCCCTCTCTCACTCTACCTTTCTCTCTCTAAACAAAGAAAGATCTCTCTCTCTTCCCCTCTCACTCCTTTTAGATCTCTCTCTCTCCCTCTATCTCACTCTCCTCTCTATCTTGCCCACATTCTCTCTTTCTTTATCTCCAACTTCCACTCCCTTCCTCTTTCTCTTTTAGTCCCTCTCTTTATCTCTCTACCTCTAGATCGCTCTAACATTCTCTCTTTACCTCTCTATCCCACCATCTCTCTCACCTACTTTTTTCCATTCTCTCTATAACTTTCTCCCACTATCTCTAATTTTATCACTCTTCCTATCTCTTTCTCTCTCTCCCCCTCCCTCTCTATCTCTCTATCTCTCTATCTCTCATTCTCCCTCTCTCTTCATTCTCTCTCTAAAAAGAGAAAAAGAAAAATAAATAAATAAAATCAATGAGCTGCCTCATCCTAGCAACCATCAACTCCTCGCATGAAGGCATAACTTGATAAACTATCAAAACCCTCAACATCTCAAATTCCTTATGTTTGAACGAGCGAAACTCCGTGCGTGATTTTTTTAACACAGCGGTGAAATTCAAATATAAATACATGTGTGTGTCAGTCCTTATATGACCGATAAATATTGTAAACTTTAAAATAGGTATTTAAATACGTTAATACCCATACATGTCTTTCTTGACGTAGAGAAATAAAAGATCCCCACCGCAATACCTCACAACACCGACCATGCACGTACTTTTAACTTTTAAGCATGGGGAATGGCCCAACACTCCCGAAAATATCCCCCACATGAAAAAGACACCGGGAGGTTGCTAATATTCACACTAATAAGAGACCAAAAAAAAAGAAAAAAAAAACTTCTAAACATAAATTGAGACCATTGAACTTGCAAGAACTACTTAAAAGCACACTCAGTGAAGGGCGCAAGAACTACTTAAAAGCACACTCAGTGAATAGCCCTTCTAATTATTCATGAAGCAAATGCACGCAAGGGGCACATGCATCTTTTGGCCCCAACCGCCCAAAACACCTACAAGGGACTGAAATCTTTCGGTACCTTTCATTCCTTCGTGCCTCCTTATTCGGCCGAACGCAAGAGAGGGAAAGAGGGCGGAAGGAGCAAGGCTAGGGCGGCTGCATCGGCGATCTCCGACGGCCCTTTTTGGAAGAAAGTGAAGAGAAAGGCTTACAGAGAAAGAAGGTAAGTAACAAGCAAAGATTTCCTTCTCTTCGCTTAGATTTTTTAAGAGGAAAATTTTAGGGTTCTTACAAAACTTAAAATTTTAGAAGAAGAACGTTTAGGGAATGTTTAATGATGGATTCTAACGACAAAATTTAAGTTTTTCCCAAAATTTTCAGATTTCTATAAATTACGGTTTTTCCTTAAATTCATATTCTTTGGAAATTCCTTAACGAATGCTGTTCCAAATAGCATTAGGAAGATTTTAAGATGTAAAAATTAGAGTTTATCACAAATTTTCATTTTTCCTAAATTGTAATTTAAGAAAATCCGAAAATTATTATGCCTAATTATTAAATGGAGGAAAACGAAGGTTTTAGCATAAATTGGTGATGGAAATATGGAAAATTAGATTTCCAAATTTAGAGCTTTAGAATAAAACAAAAAATTAAAGCTATTTGAAATTAATTTAAAAATTGGTAAAGGTTTAAAATAGGTAAATTATGAATTTAAACAATAATATGAATTTTTAAATTTAAGATATAATTAAATCCTAAAATAATTACCTTAGGAAAATGTTAAAGTGAATTAAGGATTTATGTTAATGATAAATAATGACAAGTGATAAACATTATAATGACATTCATGTATGTCTTAATGCTAATGAAAATTAAGAATTAGGATTAATGTTTAACTATATGACTTGTTCTTTTAATAAACATGATTTAAGGTTTATATGGGATGAACGAAGTTACACTATTTGTAGGATTTCGAAATATGAGAGGAAAGGCATTGAAAGAAAAATGGCAAATTTCACACGTCGCTTAGGTAGGTACATTTAATTCTTCAAATTCAATGTTCTTTTATGCTCTTTTAAAGTTAAATGCATTGTGATACGTTTTAGCATTAGAATAGTATGTTAATTTTTTTTCTTTGGCATGTCAAAAGTAATTGTTGTTTTGTTTAAAGTTTTTAATAAGTTCCACATTTTTATTTAAAAAGAATCTTCATGTAGCCTTGCATAAGAATGTGATAGATAGAAGCAAATGATTGTTATGTATGTTAGTCGTCTATCTTATGATAATTATTGCATGTGAATTTATGCATGTTGGGCGAAATACCAATAAGGTGCTTTGGCACAATATAGCTCTTTGGAACAATATGGCTTTTCGGGGCAATATGATAAAAGAAAATGATATGACCAATAAGTATGTATACATGATCAGTACATTTTCGGTACTCCGGTATGGTTGTATAGAATACAAATAAGATAAGTGTATATGTGTACAGGAAATAAAGATAAGTTGAAAAGCATGAAATGAAAGAAGTATTAAACTTATGAAATGTAAAATGATCATAGGAATTCATAAAGAAATAGGTGCAGGGCTATGTTTGTATGACATTATATTATTTACTTCTTTAGTTACATGTTGCTCAATCTCATATTAAAGCATGCTTATTTATCTTCGTTACATTGTAATTGAGTTTGGTAGAATTATTTGTTACCCGCTGAGTTTTAGCTCACTCCCTAGCTTTGAGATATTTTCAGGAGAACCATTGTTTAAGGATGGCGGATAGGCAACAATATACCTACCAGCATAGGGTTACCATGGGAGACAGGTTCTTTTGTTGAATGTACTTTTGATATTTCTTTTTTGTTTTTGTGGATCTCGCATGTCTAGTTATGATCCACATGTGTAAATTTCTTACGATATAATAAAATTTTTGCGTTGTGGAAGTTTTAGTGGCTCTTTATAATTGTTTTGGATGTTAAATATGTTAATATTTACGTGATGATATATGAATTATGTTTTAACTTTCGTCTGACATCCGTTCCCTTACTCGAACTTATCGGGCCGGGTCGTGACACTCGTGAAACTCACAATCGAATCCACAAGATATGCATAAGCAGATAGAATGTGAGCAATAATGAACATAAAATGCAAAGTCACCAATGAAGTTGCATTCACATCAACAATTACTACATTGTGTCCTTGCACATCTCAAACAACTGCATTCACCTCAATTATTTCCAAACAAGACAAAACAGTCAAACATGTTGCACATCACGAGTGTATAATTACCTACGTGACATGCACATTAATTACTAAAAAGAAAATCCATAACAAAGCAATGAGTCTCGCGAGCAGGTAGTATACCCAATGAACAGGCAATACATCCTGTGAATGAAAATTTTCAAACGAGACAAAGAATTTCATGATTACGCGCCACGAGCCGTATAGTTATTTAACAAGGAGTATGAAATGCGTCAAATCATTGAAAACAATTGTGTCCACACAACCTGCAAAAGTACCAAGCAAATGTACTAAAAATGTGTAAATGTACTTATGAACGTATAAAAATACTATGTTAAGTGCGCTAAAGATCATGCAAGTATGTAAGTAAATCGTGTAAATGCATCAAGAAAAGAGCAAGTACACTAAGAAATATGCAACTGCACTGCCTAATGCATCGTGAAACATATAAGTACGCCTTTCAAATGCATCAAAAGGCATGCGCGACAAATTGAACCATTGAAATCAATAAACCCGCATTCGACTATTCCATTCAATTCCTAAATCCTAGGTCTTATAAAGCCATGCAGGTTAAAATGGAATAAATTCAATTTTGTTTTAACTCAAAATGCATACAAACTTTTCGAAATCATATAATTATGTCAAAAACTTCAAACGCTAAAGCGTCAATATTATAAGTAAGCTCTAAAGTAGGTTGTTCTGCTTATAAGGCAGGGTTGTAAATCCTCCTCTTTACAAGGAATGGAGTTGACGATGCTTGAGACTCATGAGAGATGCCCGAACAATAAGTTTTAAATGGCACTCCATAAATTTTCTTTAAAGCCTCTCTAACTTCAGATTTACTAATACGCCGATAAAAACATAAATCTTTATTTTCATCTAGGGTGCTAAGGTCACTATAGTCAATCTTATTTTCACAAGCTGTTGGAGAATGAAGGGTGGAAAAGCTGCAAAATTACACGATTTTATTTTTCGTTTATATTAAGCTTCAATGCCTTTTACAAAAGAAAAAATCATGACACAATACAAACATTAAGTTCATCGCTCGTATGATGGCACACAAAGTTGGCCCGTCAAGGAAGATAAGTTTGTGAAGAATCTTAGCTAAAAAAGGTCAATATCTTACTTAGTGTATTTGTTTGATTTATTCTCAAAAGATCTCTTCCCAGTATGAAGGTGGCATACATCCTCTAACAAGTGGTTTAATAGCCAATCCACACCACAAGTAAACAATTATAACCAAAGGTCTCTAACCAGGTGATTAGCGGCAAAATTACACGATTAAATTATAATAACAATCAAAGCCCACAAGCTCCCCAATGACTTAAAACAAGTTAAGTAATAAATCATCAGGTATACTTGACAAGGCAAAAAGCCCTTTATTAGCTAAGTTCAACTAAAATTTATCCTCTTAAACAAACATCTAGACAAAGTATACAAGATTCCCTTAGACTAATAAACCCATGATTTTCAATAAAAATCCTTCAATCGGTTTGAGTTGATCACCTCCACTGATTAAGTTAAACAGGGCCCATGATGAAGCAATCAAAATTCCCTAGCTGATTGTTCAATTCCTGCATATATTTATGACCGGTTTCTTTTGGCAATTGGGCTCCCAACATAATTTAAATGCTGCCTTTTTCTTCTCTTTCCTGGTTGGCTTGAGGGGACGACTGATTTGGCTTTTGGAATTCCTAATTTATGGTGACTTTTGAGATTCCTCTTCTCCAATTTATGAGGGTTGTTTTGTGGGCTTTTGGGCTTCTTCTTCCCTCCTATATATAGGATTGTTTTGGGTTGTTTTAGAGGAGGTTATGGAGAGATTTTTGGAAACTAAAACCTACGGGTTTTTGGATAGCTTGCGAGCTATGCCTCTTCGTCTTCACCTTCTTCTTTGATTTCGTCTTGGGCTTCTTATCTGTTTCTTCTCTCCGCAAGTGATCACCTCATTTGTATCTTTCTTCTCAACTTATCTTATTATCAATGTATTAAGTGTTTAAGTGTCTTTTAACATGTCTTTATTATCATATCATCTATAATTTATATTTTCGTCATTAAATTGTCATTTTAGTTGTTCTGTCAATATATTCGGCTTGTAGTAGGTAAATTTTGGAAGACTTACAAATTTTGTATTTGTAGGTAATTTCTTTTGCCTACATCAAAATGGTATCAGAGCTTTTGGTTGTGTGCAAGTCTTTTTGTGAGTCTTTAGAAAATATATATTTATAATAATGAGCAGTCCAAACCATCATCCTTTGGGAATCTCAAGTCAAGAGTCGATAAAATTTCAAGATGAATACGATCCTGCCAATGTTGAAAGCCAAACACCATTGCCTAGTACTCATGAAGTTGGCATTCCATCTGGCATCAGTCTCTCGCCCGAGGGAGATTCAACAGACTCAATTCAAAATGAACTTTACAAGATACAAAGATTGATGTACTTATGTGATGAGAAATTTGATAAAAGAACTCAGATACTTCTCGCTGAATTTAATCAATAAAAGGAATTGATTGAACAGAAATATGTTGTTATGATTAAGGAATTGGATTGGTCAAACAATGAAAATACTGAATCGAACTCACCAGGAGATGAGGTTCTTCCTCCATGGGAGAATTGATGCAATCAAAATTCCCTGGCTGATTATTCGGTTCCTGCATATATTTATGATTGGTTTCTTTTGGCTATTGGGCTCCCAACGTAATTGAAATGCTGCATTTTTCTTCTCTTTCCTGTTTGGCTTGAGGGGGCGGCTGATTTGGCTTTTGGAATTCCTAATTTATGGTGACTTTTGGGATTCCTCTTCTTCAATTTATAAGGGCTGTTTTGTGGGCTTTTAGGTTTCTTCTTCCCTCCTATATATAGGATTGTTTTGGGCTATTTTAGAGGAGGTTATGGAGAGATTTTTGGAAACTAAAACCTGCGGGTTTTTGGAAAGCTTGCGAGCTATGCCTCTTCGTCTTCCCCTTCTTCTTCGATTTCGTCTTGGGATTCTTATCTCTTTCTTCTCTCTGCAATGACCACCTCATTTGTATCTTTCTTCTCAACTTATCTTATTATCAATGTATTAAGTGTTGTCTTTTAACATGTCTTTGTTATCATATCATCTATAAATTGTAATTTAGTCATTAAATCATCATTTTAGTCATTTTGTTAGTATATTCGGCTTGTAGTAGGTAAATTTTGGAAGACTTGTAAATTTTGTATTTGTAGGTAATTATTCTTTCCTACATCACATGACAACCCGAACTACAAAACTATAGGATTTTGATCAAGTTGATCATCATTCCCCCCATCATACATTTTAAGTGTAAGGTGGTAAATTTCAAATCTTATATCAAATTTCATTGCCACTTAACTTCAAACAAGTAAACTTAATCAAAAATTCTCTCTCATCACTTGGAGGGATAATTAACCATAGAAACTTCCACCTATGAGAAGCCTAAAACTCTATCATAAAATTTTCGTAAAATGAGGGCTTATCAAGGTACTGTCCTATTTTCAATTAAACCTGTCTTTTAAAAATTTGACCCAAGAACACCAAAAACCATCTCAACGTAGTTGAGGCATTAATTCTCAAGGCCCACAAGAATGATGAATGTGAAAGTGAGAATTAACAAACCCTTAAAAAAGTTGGGATAAAGCAAATGATGATGATGATGATGATGTTGATATTGATTCTCTTGAGATTGTTTTATAGGCACATATATACTTATCAAAGCTTAAATAGAAATAGCATGTTAAAAAATGAAATCAAAATTTTGATATTGCAACAATAAGCCACTAGCCTATACTGAAAATGAATCATTTTGTCAAGGAACACTTCCAAGAAAATGTAATCAATAAATATGTTAAATCTTGAACGCCTTGAACTCTAAAGCATATGGAAAAAACAATTTGAACTCCAAAGCATTTGAAAGAAAAATTTTTAAACAAAAAATATTAAATTCAAATGAGATATATTCCTTAGAAAAGAAGAATCCTAACAACACACCTGTACCATCAGAAGCATTTCACATAGGGTCCCACTTCCTTTCCGTAGAACTTCATCCGGAGGCATGGGAATTATGGTTGCAAGTGAGAAAATAAACGGGTGGACGTAAGTCATATAAAGGTAGTAAGTTGCCACAGCATCTGAAACAGAATAGGAAGCCATCGTCTGAAATAGCAATAACAACACCGGTAACATCAAAAACTGAAACGCATTAATTCCAGACAAAACAACAATATATATTCAACACTGATGTATGCAATGCAGGAAAAGTCATGTTAGCCTTGTGAGGCATACATTGTCCACGAGTATATAAAAGACAAAATAATTATAAACATATTACCCAATGCTCCACAACAATGTTGAAAATACTGGAATATTTGCTTTTTGAAATGTCAGGACAACATCTCATCATTGTAATGTACATATCCCATCGCCTAAAGTTTCAGAGAAAGACTTGCGTTCAAATTACCTGAGGTTTATCCCTCGCAAAACGAACCATATCTTCAGGGTTGACCTCCAATGGATCATAACCTAACTTGGCTTTCGTGACAGCCTGGAGATTAAAAAAAAAGGATCAGAATAAACCAAAAAATCCATATTACATTTAAAAATAAACTGAATGAGGAGAGAAGAGACCAGTAGCGTGACTTGGGAAAAAGAATAAATTCTAGTAAAAAATGGTCTATTATTAATTAGAAAAAAAAAGAAATCCACTTTGATCCCAAAATCCAGAACGAAGCAAGGGATTGTTAACCCAAAATCCGATGATAATGGTGTGTAACCAACCAGAAACCAAAAAACAAGTCATAAATCCATTTGGAAGGTTAAAATTGTTAAATTGTGTCATATCTAATCAACAACCTTTCTTCTAAACGGCAATCCAGAATCACTCAAATAACAAATAGAGTCCCATGACAATTTTTAGAGCCCATAGCTCTCGTTGTTTATTTAGAATTCTAATATTATTTATTTAGAATGGCAATGCTCCTGTCAGCTCAAACTATCTTGGAATGCAGAAGTTCTTTGAGGTTAAACCTGAAGCAAGACAATCCTCAACATTTAGCAGAACCATCTGAAATTTCAAAAACAAAATAATACTAAAATCTATGGTTGATATGCAAGGCTAATTAAAACTAGTAAAAATTATATCTACTCCATTTACTGAATTGCAAACTGTAGGATTAAAGTTCTATCCAATCGAATCATCTTTATTCGAATGATAGAGAAAAAAAAAAGCCATCACCTTTAAACCCTGGCTTCCCTGAGGCAGATAACTGTCACGTTTGACCCAAGCAAAGCAATCCAAATGGCATGAAAATTTAGCACGACATTCTCCCTGAATATTATCATGCTGGAATCCTATTTCCTGCAAAAGTAGAAATCGAACACTATTTATATCACTGAGGGAGTTCACAATGGAATTGCAACAAATACCATATTGGAAAGACAAGAAAACAGTAACATTTTTTGAACTTTTTTTCCAAAGAAGATCGCTCAATAAGAAGTTCACTTTGATGCTAAATTGACAGCATATATCAATAAGCAATATTTTTCAGCAAAAAAAATAATATTGTTAAGAGCAGAAATAGAGTGTTTTTTATGGACCATTTCAATAGCGTTTGCAATTAAGAAGACATAATGGAAGACTTCTCAAGATACAATAGCACAATTGAAGACCCCCTTGACAAGGTCAGGACAACTAATGTTATCACAAATAGTTTATATTGAATTTTGAACAAAACACATCATGAATTTCTTATGGGGGTCGCACTTTGACATTGCGAAAGGATTAGAACATAGGATATATATTAATATACATAGTGCTAAGTAGAAAGTGGGCCTTCTATATATAATGGTTGTAGGCATTTTGAAGTGCTGTAAATTTTTACACTTGGTTTTGATTTCAACAGAAAACTAGTTACCGAAGTTTGACAAGTTTCAAGCTTGAATTCAATCTTCAGTTTTAATCAAACATAAATTATGTTTTGAAATTATTAATCATAAACTAATTTCAAAATATAATAGAAGAATTTAATACAATTTTATTACTTTCAAGTTAACGCTAACAAAAGTTATTTAAAATCAGAAGAAAATTAATCTTTAAACTAAAAACCAGCCGCACCTTGCCACATGAACGAAATCTACCTGTATGGGGGCCTGCAGCTAATGCACTAAAAACTGATGTGATGACTGCAATGAATTTTGCCAACATAAACCGAAATTCCTGATGATAGAAATCAAAACAAACAAAAACTAGCCAAAACCAGACAAACTAGCCTATTTTAGGGCCATCTTTGAGTGACAATAATCAATTATGGCCGGAGCATAAAACCATGAAATGCAAAAAAAATCAAATCATAAATTTTAATGCTACCCTTGACTAAAAACTTAAGGACTGTCCGTGGCTGAGAGCCAAAGGAAAGTTGTTCCAAGATAGACAAAAAAGCAAGCCAATAACCCTACCTCACTCATTTTAATCCCATAATGAGCAGCTCGTTTTTCCAAAAACGGCCAGTCAAAGAAATCACCATTGTAGGTGACATAAATACCAGGTTTTACCTCCTGCATGTGTGCAAACCAGAGTTTGAGAAGCTCTACCTGCAATAATCTAAAGAATCAGAAAAAGCAAGATGGCAATTAAAGCAGCCATTAAAGTAACGACTCCAAAGACGAAAATACCTCGTTTTCCACATTTTTCACATTAAAACAACCTTCGAATTCTGGTTTTGGTGTATATTCCAAATCCTCAATATCTGCTCCCACAAACTAGATGTAATGCCGACAATTTTTGTCATTTAATGCAGAAGAAAAACAAAACATGAAATGAATAAAAATAACTCATGGGAAACAACTTCATTAATTTCCACTATGAAACAAATATAAATAGTCATCACATTGAACATCATTCAGAAAAGCGCACAAAAAGTGAAGATGAACTAAAGGAACGACTAAGACCTAAATGAATTTGATTTCAGTTTTTGTAGCCTTAGATGATGGAATGACATTGAGCCATGTGAATGACCTCAAAATGTCTAATAATAATAATAATAATAAAATGTGGAATTTAGGTAAAGGTTTTTTGAAATTTAACATTATCTTGCCTGATTAAAATATGTCATAAACTGAATTGCTTACTAGAAAATATGAAATTCGGCGATCATCACAAAGAATAATAATATAAATAGAAATACATATGCAGTTAATGTTCATCATAAACAATTACATTGATAATTATTGTTCACTTCAATAGCTTACTTGAATAGCAACCTAGTAGTGCTACCATGAGTAGCAAAAACGGGGAAAGTCACAATGCAAGTTGTCAAATGGCTATGCAGCTCACAACACTAAAGATAGACTCAATCATCAACATCAACTCTCCAAGGCTTTAAAGAACTCAGCTCCGACAAGTAAAATAACAAATAAGCCTACAAAAAATTATGGCCAAGGCATTGTAAATCCTAAAACGACACCCATTAGTTATCAAAATGTGGGTAACCATTCCATTTGACGATATATTTCATCCCTCCATCAATAATGGAAACAATCTAATCATTAAGGATCTTCTCAATTTGAAGTTAAAGAGGTCCACAACAGGACGGTGGTACCTGCATAGAATATATATGAGCGAATAGTGGTGGTAATAATGGTCATGTGAATAGTGGTGATGTAAGTGTCAAGACGGCAAATGCCAATATGCAACAAAGAGTGGATTCTTAACAACTTGAGTTCAAGATGTAAATAATTGAAGCCAGTTGAATCAGGCTAAACACCCGTGAACCGGACTTGCCCAAACTTATGGTATAATGGAAATCTTGTCCTGAAGCCTCACACAACGGCCCAACCCCAACTAGCCTGCAATCAAGTCTCAAATATCCCTCTTGTCAACACAATGCGTGCAATTTACAAAGAAGAAACCTAGGACATTGCACATCTCTCAACACTCCTCCCTTTTGCAGTCATTGAACCTCTCCCCTCTCGTGGCTCCCTCCCACCTATTGACCATTGCCCCAATCACAGCCACCAAGCCCTCTCATCTCTCTCCTATTCTTTCTCTCACAATCATTATAAGAGAAGGTCCTCGTTAGCATTTGTTCTCCTTTGATCGAAGGCCGACAACAAAGAAACCACCTTCGCAAGTCTCCATATTTTTCTCTACCCTACTTCCTTCCTATTTCTTAATTATCTTATATTTCTCAAATTACCCTTTTAATGGCAGCATTCTAGAAGCAAGCACTTCTTAGCTCATTGCCATTGAATTTTGAAAGGCTTGTGTGTAAGTCATTATTTTTCATTTATATACAGAAAAAAAATTATTCTTAGGTTGATTAGAATACAGTGGAATTGGATAAGATTACACATTAATTTATAATGATAGGTTTAACATTATATATCATATTTCCCAATGGTTAAATTAAGTTCATTTGTAGGGTGAGTTATATTGTATAGATTTCCCTAATTATTTTCCACAATTTAGTCAGGTTTAAACTTTTTTTTATTAGAACTTATGTCATCCGTATTTTATTATCATTTTCATATTAAATGTCAAAGTTCTTGTACAACTTTTGAGTTAAATTTCACTTGGTAGTTTTGGGGGAATCTTAATTATACTTGAAGTTGCATGCGACTTATTGTAAGTAGCTGCTATTTATTAAAGAATAAACATACCATTGTTATTATAATCATTATCCTTGTTATTCGTATTAGATTTCAATATATTATAGGATGTCAATCCTACTTTCAATATTTATTTGTTGTTATGCACGTATAATATATCTTGTTTGTTGTCCATAATAAAATTATCACGTGATAGAGCAACTTTATCTTGATTTTGATGTGATGCATGAATTGAGTTACACATGATTAAAGAAAAGGAAATTAAATAAGAGCTTAGCCGTTTATAAAGTCATGCTTCACATTAAAATTGGTTACAAGAATTCGTAGAGTTCCACTTTGCTTAGGTTAAAGAATTACAATGAAAATTGACCGAGCGATTTAAGCCAATGCAAAGGAAAAAAGTAAAGTTAAAAGCTAGTGAATTAAATCCAACAATTAATAAGGAGTTGTTCACCTTGAGACATCTTCTCTCTTTCCTACGAAACTAGGTTGAGCGGCGGAAGATCGTCTAAGCTAGTAGTGAGGTAGCCACGAGGAGGGAGGAGCCAATGATTGTCGCCACGGGGAAGAAGCTTGGAGGTGGAGGAGGCGTGGGTGGGTGGCCGTCGATGGTCCACTCGTAGCCCGGACGTTGTCTATCGATGACTTTGATGAGGGATGGGAGGATCCGATCCAAGTAATCTCCCACGGTGTCTTCGTCGGATTCAAATCCCGAGTTCGAAGAACTGCGAGCGGAGGACGTCAGAGATTTCCTTGGGCATCAAACACAAGCCCCCATTTCTAACTCGGATCCGCCATGCACATGGTGGAAGAACGATAAGGAGGCGTCGCCGCAGAAGCCTCCAATGAGAGGGAGAGAGAGGACGGCGGCGTTGTAGCAGGGGGATGGGGAGGCCGCGGGTAGAGAGAGGGAGAGGAATATTTGCTTTGAAACAAAAACTGAGTTTAATTTCAATTTTGAGGAAATGGCGGAGGGAAAATATTAGGATTTGAATTTTAATTTGAAGGAACAATTAAGGCCTTAATGATAAATTAATGTAGAGAGAAGAGAGCAAAGGGGAGCCGTGTAGAGAGAAGGGGGAGCAGAGAGCTTAAAAACTGAAATTATTTCAGTTTTTATGCAAGGGGAGGGAAAAATAATTGCATCCTTAATTTGAAATTTCAAATTAGGTTTAGGAGTTGGTTAATTGGGTAATTAATGGGAATCAAGATTGTGGGGCGGCGGCATGGCTAGGCGAGAGAGAGGGAGTTATGGAGAGAGGGAGGGGCGTTTTCCAAATTATAAGAATTGATGACTTATGGAAAATATTGAAATAAAATCCAAATCCAATTTTAAATTTAATTAATTCGGATTATTCCCAAAAACTTTCCAAAAATAGAATTTTCCAAATTTGGAAAGAAATTGAAATTTGAAATTTCAAATTTCAATGAGAAATAGGTGAGGGGATGTGGGGAGGTGGTGGAACAGAAAGGAGGCCGGCGATGAGGAGGCCGGCCGGCGAGGCTATAGTGGCCGGCGGGTGGATCTAGGGACGGCGTCAATAGGAGCTTGGCTTCTTGCTTCCTCTTCTCTACTTGGGGTCTTTGGTGGCGGAGAGACAAGAGACTAGAGATCTCAAGCCTTGGTTGATTTCTACAAGTGAACTCACAAAGAGATCACAAAGAACTCACTAAGAGATCTCTACGATATTGAACTCACAAAGAGGACAAAACATAAGAAAATTTCATTTCCATAATTCCTCCCTCATACAAGAAACAAGAGCCATTTAAATAGGCTCCATGATGATGTCATCGACAGGAAGTTTCGGCGAGTCTACCAGAGCGACATCGGAGATCGACGGCCATGATGGAGAGCCTCTACTACTGATTTTATTTGCACTAGCATTTTATGTATTATGCATTTTCTTTTCCAGTTTTCCCATTTTACCCATGAGGGTATTAGTTTGCTTTTGTAGCCCAGAGGGCATTTTAGACTTTTATATTTTGTTGTCATGTGAAGCCTATTTAAAGGGCTCTTGTATCTTGTATGAAAAATTAATGAATTATTGAATGAAATTTTCTAGTACTGATCTCTTTGTGAGTCCTCCATTTCCCCTAGTTCTCTCCGTGAGTTCTTGAGGGAAATTTCGTGGATCTCTTTGTGAGTTCCGGTATTCTTATTATTTCCCTTTGAGAGCTTGAAGAAGAGGTGCGTGCGTTTAAAATTCTGAATTTTTTTTTTCAAAAAAAAAAAATTTCGTGGATCTCTTTGTGAGTTCCGGTATTCTTATTATTTCCCTTTGAGAGCTTGAAGAAGAGGTGCGTGCGTTTAAAATTCTGAATTTTTTTTTCAAAAAAAAAAATTTATCCTGCTTCTAAGCTCTAGACCCCATCCCCAATCCTTCCTTGCCGCCGCCCCCTATCTCCCTCCCTTTGGAGATCCCTCTTGCGGCGACCACCGTTCTCCCTTACAAAATGCATGGAAGAACACGAGTGGAATTTCGAGTTTGAGTACGACAACAACGGAAGGGTAAACATCCTCAGATCACAGTTCTTCGACGTCGGTTTTGACTTCGACGACACCGTCGAAGAATACTTGGACCGGATCCTACCAACGCTAGTGGATTCCATCGACGACCACTTCTCCGTCTACACGTGGATAATCAAAGGTCGATCAACCGTGCCCCCCCCCCCCACCTCCGAGATCCTTCTCCACAGCGACGTTCCTTGGCTCCTCCTTCCTCGTCGCAACCTCAATACTAGTTTGGACGATCTTCCGCCGCTCAACCTAGTCTTCGTAGGAAAGAGAGAAAAAGGTCTCAAGGTGTGAACAACTCTTTATTACTTGTGGGATTCAAGTTACTAGTTTTTAACGTTATTATTTTCCTTATATTAGATTAAATCGTTCGGCTATCTTCTTTTATTGTAATTCTTTTGTCTAAGCAAAGCCGAACTCTACGAGCTCTTGTAACCGATTTGAATTTGAAGTATGAAATTATAAATGGTTAAGCTTTAATTAATTTTCTTTTCTAACTCATGTGTAACTCAAACCATGCATCACATAACTCCACATGACAACAAATATAAAAGTCTAAAATGCCCTCCGGGCTACAAAAGCAAACTAATACCCTCAAGGGTAAAATGGGAAAACTGAAAAAAAAATGCATAATACATAAAATGCTAGTGCAAATAAAAATCAGTAGTAGAGGCTCTCCATCATGGTCGTCGATCTCTGATGTTGTCTCTGGTAGACGCGCCGAAATCTCCTGTCGATTACCTCATCAGATTTATTATGCATGAACTTAACCATTGAATTTGATTTTTGTGGTTAAAAATTTGATTTCATACACATTAGTTTTATTAAGTATAATTGATGATATTCATGCAAATCTATTGATTGTAGAATTCATAATTATCATAATGATTGTATATTACAACTTGAAAGCATTCTCATAAAAAATATGAAAATTGTATACATGTATGCAATAATGGATAGTGGCTGCCGAGCCAACGAGCCCGTAGAGTTCCGACTTCAAAAAAAAATCATTAGATTTCCTTTTGTTGGTATTTACCTTCCCGGTGCAAGGTGTTTGAAAAAATCAATTGTGTGTGTACATACATGAGCTCAAAACAATAAATTATTGATAAATCATATTGAAATATGATAATATCTAACGTGATTGTATATTGATACATTTGAATAAAATTGTATTGATGATAGTTTAACGTACATATTTTTCATATCATACTAAAATCTGACATGAAATTTATGAATTGTTTCATAAGCACATTAATTTGTCGTTTATATGTTGCTATGTAGTCACTCTTTCAATTTTTGTTGTTCATATTACATGTCCCATCTCCTTGTCGTTTATATTTTATAGTTGGGAGTTAATTGCTAAATTTGAATTCTAAAAATCATTCGTTAATTTTCACATAGTAAGTCTTGACATAGTGTTTGGCGAACCATCATCACAAGAGTAATTTTACCAGCAATAGGATATAATTGATATTTTTAAGTATGTATAGCATATCATTTGTATTTTCTTTTGAGGGTTTAGTAAATTTATTCCAGCATTGCTTTTCACTACTCTTTTGATATGTAGTTATACACTTTATTGATGTACTATCCTTTAGATTTATAATAATGAAATAAAATTTATTTTGCCTTCCATTATTTACTAGGATGTATCATATTATATTATTTGCATATGAAATTTCTTCTTTTGATTACAAAATAGGATTTATTTATCCCTTCATTGCATCCTATGTAGTCAAGGTGCATCGCATTCTAGACTCGGGGTGTAACACAAGAAACCAAAGGGACCTCAAGAAAAATAGTCATATTAAAAATAGTAAACCCCATGTCCCATAGCCTCCCATGTTCACAATCATTTTTCCAACCCTCTTAAAATAAGCTATCAATTTCTAAAAAGATCCTATGGGAAATGTCATTGTTCAGAGGCAAACCATAACCCTCTTGGAACTCCTAATAGCTCTATGCAAATTTGTAAATATTTTAGCTACTTAAACATATTTGAATTTCCAACAAATGTTAAAATTAAAATCATACAGATGTTGTGCAAATGACTCAACAAATTTGGCCCCCAACTCTATCACATCTTACGTTCGACTGGGGAATGAGATTCCAACTCTGTTTGTTGCTTTTAATATTAACATTTGAAGCATAAAGAAGCTTATGGATAAGAAGTTTTAACATATATATGCCAGGAGAGAAAGAAGACAAGCAAGAAAGTAAATCACCACCTCCAAAATATACTATGCTTCAAATTAGGCATTTCTAATGTGGTCCTCGGGGCTTTTTCTCTTCTAATTGTTGGTTCATTCAACATAGGTTGGCCTTATTAATGTATTTGTTTTTGGTTATATTCCTCATCACGAAATGATTTGGATTTGATTCATGTTGTACTATTTTCTTTAACTAATAACAATACTTATTTTTTACTTTTAAAAAGTTTTCTTTGTGAACAGTATCTATGCTGCTGCTATTGTTCAACTTAATCATGATCATGAGGACAATTATTTTTTCATTGTTTTGAAGGATTTTGATGGCTCGATGATGATGCTGATGATTGACCATGACGTCTAAGTCACAAAGAAAAAGGAAATTCTCCTAAAGCAGGTTCAAATGAAGTTAAAATTCTTTAGAACCTTGAACCAAAATATTTCAAAATAGTTGATTGAAGCAAAGTTTCTGATTCTCCCTGATTAATCAATAATCTGAAGCTTCCTATCCTGGGAAAATATTATTCTGTTTAACCTAAGTTCAGCATAGTATGGTAAAGACAAAGAATTGTTGCCTAATCAAATTATGTGTGGTACAGAGTATAGACAAGCCCTCAACCCCAAACCCCTTCATGCAATTTTCATGGCAACACCAACTTCCTCTTTTGCATAAATTTCACGATCTCGCACTCCTCGTCACCTAAGCTTGCAATATAAAAAGGACAAAACTAGGGCAAAGATTTCACTCACTCATCTCTCTCCCTTGCACATGCTAAGCCTCATTGGCCAAGCCAACCTCATCATCTTCTTCCTCTTCAACTAAGAGCAAATAGTAAGCCCTTCTCCTCATCCACCTCCTTCACTATGAGGTATCCACTTGTCCTCCTTGCCTCGTTTAGTCTAGCAAACCTTTCAAGAGCCTTCTCTCTCTTGTTTATTCCTCCTTAGCTGCCAACAACATTTCACCTAAATTGCCTTCTCCGCCCAAATTGGTAAAAGAGTTGACCTCTTATAAACTTTGTTCTAGATTAATTATTTTAATTAATATATACTATTCCAGTTAAGATTATGTCATTGTGGATTTCATAAGAACATGAAGTTGCTTTTGTGATTAGATATAATAGATTTAGATAAGATTACAAATTAATTTAAAAAAGTAGGTTTTAATATTGTAAATTGTATTTCACAATAATAATAATTAAACTAAGCTATATTAAATTAGATTTGTCTAAGGACTTTCAATTCCTTAAATTAAGGCTTTGTGTAAACAATTTTTGGATAGATTAGATTTTATGTCATCATATGTTTAATTATTTATTATAGTTTTAAATATTAATTTAGCATTCTTTTTATTTAGAGCCTTCAAATTAGTATTTATTTGGTACTATTTCTTTAGATATTAAGGAAGCATAATTTGAGTATTGCAACTCGAGATTAGTAACTTTTATTTATTGGAGGATAAACATACCATCCTTCATTAGAAGCATTATCCTAGATGCTTGTAAAAAAATTTTAAATATGATATAGGATGTCAGTCATACATACTACATAATTATGGAGAATATATTTAATGCTCAAATTGGAAAGCCATACGATGTAAATAGCTTACCATGTTTTTTTGCTGCACAACTTATGTATTTTGAAATGATCCATACTGTCCCTATGCACATCACTTAATTGAATACAATGAATCTTTATTCATTCAAAACAAATTTTATTATGAAACTAACACTGATCATATTGATTATAAAATATTGGTTAAACATTTACTTATGACATAGACAAAATGTGCATACATGTTTGCAATGAATATGTAGATCGGTATAACCCTTTTGGATACTTGTTAGCCAAACTTCAAGTCCACAAAGTGGCAACTCTTTATCTGCCTTCCAAAATTTACCCCGGAACTTAGTTCGTTAAAACTCCCTCGTCGAATAAGAAGAGCGAGCGGAGGCCGGGGCCGAATTTTCGGAGCCCACAGTTAGTTTATACCTTCCCGGTTTTAAGTGTCAAACACATTCAGTGTAAAATTTGTATTATAATAAGTTCTATCAAGTTGCTTGGTGAATCATCACCATACAAACAAATTTTTTAGCAGTAGTTATTACAAGCGGTACTTAAGCTTACGTTGCCATTTTACTTAAGACTTCAATTGGATTTGAGCCATTTTAATTAGATAGTTGTTACTCTCATTTACCTTTCATTATTTCTATCACTTCTCTATTAAACTGGCATTATAGACAATGTTGCTGCAATAATATTGATGATTTTCCTATGCTTACTTTCACATGTTATGCTTTACAATTACTTGCATAAAAAAAAATTTCTATTAAGAGTATAAAACAAATTTAGCTGATCGTGACTTTTTGAGGTTTCTCAAGAGTTCAGGTAAATCCCTTCACAATATCTTATGTTAATGAGGTGCACCATGATGAGGACATCGTCAGCATTTTCGACACGAGTACCACCAGGAGACGCCGGAGATCGACGACCACGATCATGAGTTTTATTTTGAGTCATTTTACGTAGTAGGCATTAATTCTATAACTAGCAAGGCTTTAAAATCTTATATTAAAATCCCCAAGCAGTTCTTGTTCCATTGCATGTCGTTTCACATCACACCATCTTCTAGACCCAACGATGACACATAGCTCTTTCTTTCTTTTTTACAACTTTAACCACCAATATAAAGATGCAAGGAAGCAAATCCAAATATTATTTGCATGCACAAGGCTTCGACAAGTTCATCCCTTAGAGGCTAATTCTACAAAAATGTAATAAAGCATATTAAATAATTGAAAAAAAAAAACAATTGCATTTTTTTCTCACCTCTCTATTAATTATTAGATAACCTTTTGCATCTATCATATATGACACCATCATTATCTGATCATACTCCGCATCTGGAAACTTTAGAGGAAGTTTTGTGGTCTCAATATCAAATGCACAAACATGAACTTCAGCTCGTTGAAGAAGATCAGTTCTTTTTTCCACTATTAGACCCCTGCTGGATACACTTACATCATACCACTGTCCGCATCTAACATCTGCCAAAAGAATTCAGATGCACATAAAAAGTCAAGTCTTTCAGAACAAATACAAAATACTTGTGTATTATGGTATCATGGTGATATTGCAAACTAACAAAATAAAATGCTCAAAAGAAAAAGACACGAATCATGTTCATGAAAAAATTAATATAAAAGAACTCACCATTATCAATTGCAAAACGAACATGGTAAGGGACATCATATTCACGAAGGTCAGTGATACAATCAACATAATCTTGTGGCCTCTCCTTGCTGCAGATAATACAAAACAGGTATATACCATTTAGAGGGAAAAAATATAGCATGAAGTGAAAGTATTCAAAAGGAGAATATATGTTGAGAGGCGTTCAAACAAAAAGGAAACAAACACAATGAAAACAGAGGAATAGCCTTATATCCACAAAGGTCAGTCGGTTTAACAAGCATAATACATAGTCACTATTTATCAGGAAAAAAAGCCTGTGATTACCCTTTGCCACCATATATGGATTCATATGCTTCTGCAGCACCCAATCTTGCTTGGTTCCTTTCAACAACATGTAAGAGATCATTCCTGACATGTGTCAGTTGTTGGACCGTATCAAAGCTTACCTTCAAGTATGATCCGCACAAACCTGAGAGATGGTTTTTCTGCAATATATAGAAAATTTCAGAATCTAATAGAGTACTAGATTGATGAAAACGAAACATGCAAAATGCCATTTATATGCATATATATGCATGCATCAAACAGAAATATGGTCCTACTCAAGAAATTGAAGAACAAAAGTGGAAATAACTGTTCAATTAAAGAATAATTCAATTACGAAGTTCCGCTCAGACTAGACAAATTAGGACACAGATCATACAACTAGACAAATTAGGACACAGAGCATACATAAACAAAACTTGGTGGAAAAAAAAAAGCATAAAAGGTTATTAAGAAAAGTTCCTTAAAGAATGGCAAAAAATACTATTGCGATATATACTAGACAAAAAAAAAAACTCTCTATATGAGAATTGTAAGAGAAGTCAATGCTATAGCACTTACTGATTTGTAGAATGGGTCAGCTATTTGATACGTGGGGGTGGGAGTGGGGGGGACCTTGTGGAATCTATAGAAGCTATTATTTATTATGTGAGGAGGAATCAAGGAGAAGATGTTTAATTGTTAGGAAGGTTTCCTAAATTACATTAAATTTATTTAGAAAAGTTTCCTAAATCATGTTTAATTGTTCATGAAGGTTTCCTAAATCATAATTAATTGTTTAGGAAGGTTTCCTAAATTATGTTTTATTTGTTTAGGAAGGTTTCCTAAATCATGTTTAATTTGTTTAGGAAATTTCCTAAATCATGTTTAATTGTTTAGGAGAGTTTCCTAAGGTTTTGGGGAAGTGCTTAAGCCTATTTCAAGAGTAATTCCTAGTGCCTAGGAAGAAACATAATAGCTAAATTGTAATCATGTACTTACACAAGGTGAAATGGAGATGTTTTATGTAACTTGTTAAAGAAGCTATTTAAATATTAGACAATCCTATTTCACATGCTACACAATGAATTAAAAAAAAAAATCTATCAATATGTTACCAAATCTAAATCTTCTTTTTCCATAATCTCAATATTTGAGATTTGGCCTTCATAGCGCCGACGGAGATATGCATCCACCTCTAATTGCATTTTTTCCTGCAATAATAAAAAGTATTCAATGTAAAGCTATAAAAATATCAAGTGTATTTATTTTGGAAGAATCTCTGTAAATATTGCTTTGTTGTCAGCTCACCTTGGTTGCAACATAGAAATAAGGTTGAAACACGTACTTAGCCTTGAATTTGGATCCATCCTAAAATGGGCAAATAAATGGATCAGTGAAATTCATAGAATGACAAGCAACTTCAATTTGGATTTTAGGTTTAAGTTAAAGAATGTGGATAAACCGTCAAATCAAAAGAAAAAAATTGGAAATTCATGACCTGGCAAACAAAGAATAGATCCACGCAGCTATGTATGTTACATGTACCCTGTTCCTCCCATGAAGACTGAAAAAAATTAAAACTTAAATAACAAAAACAGATATGCAGATCTACTAACTTGAAATTGTATAAAAGGGAAGCTGGAATGGTGTACCAAGGAAATTACTTACTGAAGCGAGGGTTAGCAGCCATCCTAGTCTCTTCTCTCCTTCAGTGAAGAGATCAAAGCCAAACTTGCTTTCAAGAACCTCTTCGGCGGAAAGCCGGAGCTTCTGCTTTGATGGATTTCTTCGAGAATTCGAACTTTCCCAACGCCTACCTCCTCCAGTCATGATTGAAAAAAGCCGTGAACATTAAGGCTCTGAGAGAAAAGATGTAGGGCCGGTTTGGATGCAGGGATTTAGGCAAGATTTAAGCCAAATCGTGCCAAACGCCAAAAAAATACAAAGTTAGATCTCTAATCTCTACTTCACTTCGTTTTAGCCATATTTGCCCTGAATCCCGGATTTCGTAAATCCGACTTTTTGCAGATTTCGTAAATCCGACAGAAGAAGCGCGCGAAAGAGGAGAAATATGGTTACCTTCGCAGCGAGCTCCGGCGCGACTTCCGATTCGACAGAAACAACGTCGGAGGAGAAGGCGGAGAAGATTCGACTCTTTTATAACTTACTTCACGCGAAGCGGAACAGCAACGAATAAATGCAGAAGAGGAAAAGCAAACCCTCGACAGGCAATGGCAAGCGACTCATTGGAAGCTTTGCCCCACGCGAACCAGCGAAGCCGAAAAGGTAAGCCCTACCTCACGCGAACGGCAACGAAGAAAACGAAGAGGGAAAGCCAACCCACCTAGAGCAATTCTTGATCCGGAACAGAAAGTGATTCCCCCATTATTTCTCCTAAGAGCTGTTTGGAAACAGTATTTGAGACAGAATTATAGCAGGTTAAATCAGGCTTCTCCCTTCCACGGATTTAACTTAAATGCACGGCATCTCTTCATCCAGCCACTACCATCACGAAGTTCTCCTCTCCTTCACACGCCGCCAGTCCCGCGATATCTGACCCAAAGAACTCAAGAACTCCTCTCTTCCTTCAAACGCCGCCAATCCCGTCGCTGCTTGACACCAACGAGCTCTGGTCTGAGCTTCTCCTTCGAGAGTTAGAGTAGGCTGGCCAACTAGGGTTCGGAAAATTTTCCCGCCACTTAGCTTCTCGTATCAGCGTTTCAGCTTACGAAAATACCCTCAAATGCTCCACCTATTTTCAGAAGTGGCAAAACGGGCAATCAATCCCGCGTTATGTGGCTAAAGGCGGCATTAAAGTAATTCTATTAATAATTATTCTCTTATGATAAATTAAATATTTCTTTGGCCTGTAATTAGGGATAGGTTAAAGAAAAAGTGCGAAATTATAAAAAGGTGTAGATTCAGTTATGATTTAGTCAAATGAGTATATTTAAGAGTTAATTTTAAAAGGAGTATATAAGTAAAATTAAAATGCATATTCTAAGAATATGTTAAATAGTTCTCTTGTTTTAGAAAATTAAAAAATGCAAAAAATTGTTTTCCTCATTCTTTCCGTATTCATTATAATGCTGACAACAATTTTTCACATTCTATCGATAGCGAAAAACTATTTTTCACATTCTATCGAACGTGAAAAACCGTTTTCCTCATTCTTTATTTTCTCAAAAAACCGGAGAACAGTTCAACATATTCTTGAATATATATGAACAAGTGGATATATAAGAGAAAATGAAGGCATAAGAGTTAGGAGAAATATGAATAAATTGGGTATCTTGATTTTTTTGAAAATGATAAGACTAGACTTGATTAGAGGCTACTGACACTTGTTGATATCTTGAACATAGCTATGTTATTATATGGGCTTATTCTTTGAAAATTATTGTAATGTATATATTTTTATATATAGAAAGATTGAACCATGATTGTTGTGTATCACTCTTTTTTAATTAGATGGTTTAGTGAAGTAAATGAAAGGATGTTGATTTTTTTAGTTATTATTATTTGATGATATAGAAAAAGCTCTATATTTGTGAATATTGAAGAAAAAATTCTTTTCAAATAGATAATGGGAAATAAATCAACTATTTATCCTGATGATGTTTTAAAATAAACTTCTAAAGTAAAATTATGTCATGTGTCATAAGAAAGTTAATCATTAAATATATTTAAATGCAAATTCAAAATTACATTATATGACAGCCATATGCATGTTTTTCAGTTTAATTAAAGATTTATTTGGATAATTGTCTAACTGTTTTTTAAACTAATTTTTAACGAAAATTTTCTTGAACTATAATTTTTCACTAAAATATTATTTTAAAAAACAATAAAAAGCCTGCCCCAAATAAAATCTTATAAATAAAGTAAACAATACTATTGTGTTACAAATGGTGATTACAATAATTCAAAAAATAATAAATTATTAATTGTATTATAAGATCTTAAATTGAGTTTAAATGATTAAAAATTAAACAATTAAATTTAAATTAAAAGAAAAATACAATGACATTTAATATCTATCACAATATAATTCTATAAATAAATAAATAAATCTAGAGAAAGCACGTCAACAGCCTCTAAAATCTATAAGCAGAAAAGATTAATGTTTTGTTTGGTACGGTATATTTACTGTTTTTTAAAACAATTTTTTAGTATAAAAAATTTATTAATTAAATTTTTTTACTAAAAAGTCATTTTAGAAAGCAATAAAATAATTATCCCAAACAAAATCTAAAAAAAAAAGAAAAGCACATATCAATCAAAACTCTATTAGTATAAGCAATCATTTCTCAGCCCTTCTATTTTTTTCCAATGATACATAATCATTTACCATTTCTCAGCCCTTTGGAGCCATCAAAATGAAGACATTACATGTCAGAAACTTGCTTCTGGTTCCGGAGAAAAAAAAAGAAAAACTTCCACAAGATTTGAGCTATGTCTTAAATTTTCTTCTTCTTCTTCTGCGACACTCGAAACAGTCAATACAAGGATAACCAGAGCTAGCAATTGTGGCACTATTTGCTTGGAGCTTGTCGGGTGGAATTTTTAGATCTTCAATGAGTACCTTGTGCAACTTTTGGTTCTCATCCATCAATTTTTCAATGGTTTCTTGATGCCTCAGCAACTAATCATATCGACGAGTTCAACTATTTAGGGTCAAGTTCTAAAGCACAAACATAAGAAAAGCATACCGATAACATTATATCAAAAACAACAAGATTTTTTTTTTTTTTCTATTGTCTTATTAAGAGTAGGAGCAAAGCAAATTAATTAAGTGATAAACTCTTCATAGCATGGCAGTAAGGTTTCGTTGGAGAAAATTTTCTTAATGCTTCTTAAAGTAACTTTTTAATACAAAAATTTTAATTTTGTACTAATAAGCTGTTTTAAGAAGCAATAAAAAAGTTATCCCAAACGAAGCCTAAATGTAAACTTGAACATTTCAGATCCACCAAAGGCTAGTAAAGTCTGCAAGTAATGGTTTTTGGACGGAGTGGAAGCACGACGGAGAAACTGTTAAGGCATTTAGGAGTGTTCAATTAGGCTTCATTGGGACGGCTTTTTTCCTGCTTCTTCAAACAACTTTTTAGTTTAATAATTAAAATTTTTGTACTATAAAACCGTTTTAAGAAGCGGCAAAAAAGCCGTCCCAAACGAAGCCTTAATCTTACCTCAAATTTTTGGAATATCAAACAGTTGGCATTCATTCTCATGGTTAAAGTTAACGAATTTGTCTACTAGTATATAAGCTCAACTTTGAATCTCTTTTGCTTTACACTCTATGACACCTTTGGGATGCAGATAGCAAGCCAAACAGGGTGAGGTAAGTACGGAAGGGTAGGTATAGGAAAAACAGGAGAAAGGTCTCCCTTCACAGGCAAGGTAAAGGAAGAAAAAACAAAACCAGGTTATAACACTTATATTTGGTAGAGGTGCCAAGCCAATTGGCACAGGATATTTGATTACCTTTTTTGAATATAATGGATCTCAAAATCATTGTATTTATTTTGAGATTGAATGTAATATAAAATTTGACTAATTTTCTATATATTACAAATATTTCAAAATAAATCCAATGACTTTGAGACCTAAAATACCCAAAAAAAATTTCCAAATTAAAGTGCCCATCTAAAGAAGCAAGGATAGATAAATTGAAAGAAAGTACTGAAACATGAAGAGGCTTCATCTCTAATGTCATATTTGATGTAGTGAATCATTGGAAGAAATGAATCTGCTAGAAGATATATAAAACTAGGGAACCAACACAAGCACAAAGACTTCAAAAAGCTATAAATTTTTTTCCTATCCTTTTCTCCTTGCAATGAATATAAATAATAAGCTAAGAAGTTTCTAGAAAATAAGGACTATATATAATAAGCGGATGTACTTACAAACGAAGTACATCCGCTTACCGGAAGACTGCAAATAAATAGTTTCATTTATATAAAATGTCTTTGGATAAAATCGAATAGCTATGCAAAAATTAATAGTACTAATCAGGACAAACCAGTCATTTTAAACTTACCAGTTGAAGAGCACTATTCTCTGCACGCAAATTTCGAACCTGCGTATAAACATAAATGAGAAGAATCTTACATATTTTTTATCTTTACTGACCAAAAATGGCAAGAACAAACTACATAAAAAAAGTAACTAAATATGATTATATTGACATAAACGAGACTCAATATTAATAACTAGAAGCAAATATCCCGCACTCCATCAAATTTCTTAGGATACAAAGAACCCTACTCTGCAGAATTGAAATATTGCTAAAAGAAGAAATGGAAATCTCCAACCATACTACAAAGCCAGTGAAATCATCCAAAAGAAGATATATAAATAAGAAATCTATCATAAACATGAGGAGGAAGAGATGAATGAAAAGAAAATCACTATTATTGATAATATTAATACTCTTGTTCGTGTTTTTTAAGAACATTATCATAGGTGTAGGACATCTTTGACCGTTTCATAGTTTGATTTAATTGATGTGTAGGTTGACTGAAGCTAGCTTTAGGTTAGGATATTTGGGTTTGGTTGAAGTAATTATATTAGGCTTGGGTCAAATAAAGGTTTTGCAAATAGGCTAGATTGTATAGATTTAAGAGGAGTTGATCAAATATTTGGGTCTTATTTAGAATGTTGTGGGGTTTAATATTCACATGAAAATACCTCTTCCCGGTCTTGTTCATGTGATGGAAAAAAAAAAGCCAACTAGTACACATTCAGAAGCTGCTTTCAGTGGTATAGGAGTTGAAATTTTAATTGGATGATTGGGTTTGAATTTAGATTAGGTTGGAAGAAGAATTTTAGGAAACTGATTGTTGGTTTCAATTTTAGGATATCTGAATTTAAACTTAATTTAAGGTTTGGTTTGGGACGGCTTTCTTATTGCTTATTAAAACAATTTTTTAGTACAAAATTTTTAATTTTTAGACTAGAAAGCTATTTTAAGAAGCAATAAGAAAGCCGTCTAAATTTATAAAAGGTTTCAACTTCTTTTAGACTGTTTCATAAACTCTTATTAGGTTATTAAGGTTTCGTTTGGGATGACTTTTTTATTGCTTCTTAAAACATAGTTTATAGTTTTATTACAAAAATTTTAATTTTTATACTAAAACTCTGTTTTAAAAAGCAAGAAAAAAGTCATCCCAAACAAAGCCTAAATTATAACACGATTAAGAAAAGAATAGCAAATAAAAAAACTTCAAAATAAACTCCACTATAAGATTAAAAAAAAGGAAATGTAATGGACATGATTTGCCAGCATACCTCTTCATCTAGATCTGCTTCAGCTTCATTTTTTAAAGCAGAACTCTGCAAGAAATTTTCGACAACCTTCTCAGTACGGCTCTCCCGCGGTGTACTTGAGAAAGTGTCTTTTTGCACAAAAATATTAGAGCCAATATCGTTGATGGTTCCATCACTCCTTGAGTGCTGAAATGTGCTTAGCATAGTTTTAGATGGATCAAAGAGACCACCAGCAGAGGCTTGAAGGTTGCTAGTGAGCATGCCACTTTGGGTGGAGCCAGGAATGAAGTTATTGACAGAAGATGAGCTAGGAGCTAACCCCATATTCTTCATGATCTTCATTACTGATTCCTATAAAGCATGGGCAAAAAGCAATTAAAAATAAGACAGTAAAAGGATAAAATGGAGAGAATGCAAAGCTAAAAGACATACGGTAATAGAAGTCTGAATTTGTTGAAGAACCCACGGCTTCAAAGCAATGCCTGTCAACAAAATGTTTTAGTCCCCACTGTAAACGTAATGACATTGCATTGCCTTCTTCATATTTGTGCATTTGATATGCCTAATTCTAGTTATAGAAGTAAACATAACCAATAAAGAAAGTGAACAATTATAATCAGACTTCCCTGCACAGAAAATCAAAATCCTTGTCATTATCCTCATAGCTTTATCCGGCTGTTTAGGTTGGCTTGATGAGTTTTTCTTCAAGCCAATTTGATGATGAGAACAAACATTTTTTTTATAAGGATCATTTTTGGAAAAGGATCATCTTTTTAGATGGATCATCTTTTTTATATGAATAAACTTTTTTCCACCTATTAAATTTGGCTTCATTTCTTTCCTTAAATCCAAGGGAGAGAAAAGTGGGAGTTTAAGGGAAAAAGAAAAGGAGGGGATAAATTACTGTACCAGACCCGAGCATTATAGCATGAACATACTATTGCTAAAATTATAGTGAATGAAGAGAAATAATATAATAGGGGGCTAGTATGAAGTAAACAATATAAGAAAGAGTCTTCAAATTTCATCCTTCAATTAATAATTTAAATAAAAACCAGCAACCCATCTTTATAAAAAAAATAGATTGCATGGTTAAAACCAATGATTCAAATTGTGCAATTGAGTATTATGCTTTCTTTTTGTGAAGTGAAACATACATCTCAAAGCGTTTTGAGGTGTAAGCCTGAAATTAAATCATTAAAATAATTAAAAATATGAAAAATAAAGCATTTGAAAGTAATCATCCTTAGAAATACATAAAAAATAACATCATAAAAATTTGAGATCTTTTTTTTTCCCTAATAAAGCATTTTAGAGTTATCCAAAAGTGACACAATAATTAGTACAAGTACTCAATATTAAGCAAAAATATATAAGACAAACAAGTAAACATAAAAAAGAAGTCCAAGATAAACACGTGAACATGTCTTTAAATAAATTAGTTATGACATAAGACCACGAATTTAGAAGGCTCTCTCACTCTCATTACTTAAAAGATCTTCATTAGAAATATCATCATAGTTAATTGCTTTCTTGCCCCCATTATTCTAACTTGTAATTATTTAAAACAATGACTATACTATCCCTTTATAATTTTAATCATGTAAAATTTCTGCTAACATTTTCTATTACTTTCTTATTAACTTATGTTGTTCTTGTTACTTCAAAAAAGTCAATATCAAAAATTTTGTCTTGTAATGACAGTAAAACTCTATTTCATCCTCCATAAATCATTCGTCATCCGATGGCACATCCATAATATCCAAGGGATTTTCATCATCCTCCAAAATTTTCATGCAAACCTTGAAGTAGAGGCGTGTGCCTCATTACATGTTCTTCAAGGTGCACATCATCGGGCATTAAACAATTGAGATTATGCCTCTTTCACTCACCTTATTGAGCATTAAACGTTTTTTTAGCATTAAACAGTTTTTGAGGCGTAAGCCTCTATATGTTTTGCATGTTCCCCAAGGTGCACAATTTTAAATACTGATTCAAACAAACTAATTTGAATTTAAACCAAACTCAAATTTAGATAAATCCTAAAATTCCTATGGTCTAGTTTAAGATAAAGATGATCTACATAATTAAATTAAATTAAACTGAAATAAATTATAAAATAATACAAAATACATAATCTTCTATCATAATGCTATTATGCTACATCAAAAGCCATTAAATTCAATCTTGTTTCCTCATGGAGGTGCATATACTTCATTATTTCTTTAAATAGTTTCTAACTTTTTCATCTATATAATACAATTTCCAATCTACGAAGCATTGACGTAGGGATCCAACATGAGAGTATGAGACATCCTTAAAAGTTGAACATTTCTATGTTAGGATACAATGATACATGTGCCTGTAACTCTATCAATTATTCTACAACTAATTTTATTTTATTTTATTTTATTCATATAAGAACAGCTACAAAAACATGCAAAAAGAAAAATAACTATACATAATCATCTATGTTTGTGAGCATATGCAAGAAAAACAAAACTACATGCACTCATTAATATAAAATTAGCAAGAAAACATTAGAACAATTGAAGTGAACTCTTATGATCTAACTATAAAGATATAGGTTAAGAATGTTTCTCATATCAACAGAAATTTTAGCTGGGGAGTGGTTTTTTCTTGGCAAGAAGTAGACTATTAACGTTTGAATTTAAACTTACTTTTAAATTTATAAAAGGTTTCAACTTCTTTTAGACTTTTTCATAAACTACCATATTAGGTAATTAATATTTCATTTGAAAAGACTTTTTTATTGCTTCTTAAAACAGAATTTTAGTATAAAAATTTTAATTTTTGTACTAAAACTCTATTTTAAATAGCAATAAAAAAGTCATCCCAAACAAAACCTAAATTATAACACGATTAAGAAAAGAATAGCGAAGAAAAAAACTTCAAAATAAACTCCACTATAAGATTAAAAAAAAGGAAATGTAATGGACATGATTTGCCAGCATACCTCTTCATCTAGATCTGCTTCAGCTTCATTTTTGAAAGCAGAACTCTGCAAGAAATTTTCAACAAACTTCTCAGTACGGCTCGCCGGCGGTGTACTTGAGAAAGTGTCTTTTTGCACAAAAATATTAGAGCCAATATCGTTGATGGTTCCACCACTCCTTGAGTGCTGAAATGTGCTTAGCATAGTTTTAGATGGATCAAAGAGACCGCCAGCAGAGGCTTGAAGGTTGCCACTTTGGGTGGAGCCAGGAATGAAGTTATTGACATAAGATGAGCTAGGAGCTAACCCCATATTCTTCATGATCTTCATTACTGATTCCTATAAAGCATGGGCAAAAAGAAATTAAAAATAAGACAGTAAAGGATAAAAAGAAGAGAATGCAATGCTAAAAAAACATACAGTAATAGAAGTCTGAATTTGTTGAAGAACCCACGGCTTCAAGGCAATGCCTGTCACCAAAATGTTTTAGTCCCCACTGTAAACGTAATGGCATTGCATTGCCTTCTTCATATTTGTGCATTTGATATGCCTAATTCTAGTTATAGAAGTAAACATAACCAATGAAGAAAGTGAACAACTATAATCAGACTTCCATGCACAAAAAATCAAAATCCTCATAGCTTTATCCGGCTGTTTAGGCTGGCTTGATGAGTTTTTTCTTCATTCATATTAAGTAAAAGTTGCAAATGGCTTCAAACACAATTTTTTTCATTTATAGATAGTTTCCTTTCATCTAACCTTTCCTTTCTTCTCTTCTTAGGTTAATTCAAGGTTAAATTACCTCTTGATTCGAAGTAACTACGAAAGGGTCCCCCTAGGAAGGCTAAATTTGGAATCTCTACCGGGACACAACTCTTTTTGCGTAATAGAAAGAGGCTTATATAAAATGTGACTGGGATAATCTTTCAAAGACAGAAACTCTTCCTTGGGCACCCAGTGCTCCGCTAGTGCCTGAAGCCAGGGGCCTTAGAGGTTTATGCCATCTTAAATACACAAATATCCATGATTTTTTGTAACCTTGCATGCAAGTCCTCCACTTATGAAACCTTTAATTTGAGCCATTGCTTTTAGTTTATCGTTTCATCGAAACCCTAAAACCCTAAAACCCTAAAACAAACAAAATAAATGTGGCACAAGCAATTTTCCACGTTGATAATTAATGGTTAGCAATCATAGTTAATTGCTTTCTCGCTCCCACTACCCTCACTTGTAATTATTTAAAACAAATACTATACTAACATTTTATAATTTCTATTATATAAAAATTTCTGCTAACATTTTCTATTACTTTCTTATTAACTTATGTTGTTCTTGTTACTTCTTATATCAAAAAAGTCAATATTAAAAATTTCGTCTTGTAGTTATGACAGTGAAACTCTATTTCATCCTTCCATAAATCATTCGTCATCCAATGGCACATCAGTAATATCCAAGGGATTTTCATCATCCTCCAAAATTTTCATGCAAACCTTGAAGTAGAGGCATGTGCCTCATTACATGTTCTTCAAGGTGCACATCATCGAGCATTAAACAATTGAGATTATGCCTCTTTCTCCCACCTTGATGAGCATTAAACAATTTTTTAGCATTAAACAGTTTTTTAGGCGTAAGCTTCTAGATGTTTTGCATGTGCCTCAAGGTGCACATTTTTAAATAATGATTCAAACAAACTAATTTGAATTTAAACCAAACTCAAATTTAGATGAATCCTAAAATTCCTATGGTCTGGTTTAAGATAAAGATGATCTACATAATTAAATTAAATTAAACTGAATAAATTATAAAATAATACAAAAATAAATAATCTTCTAGCATAATGCTATTATGCTACATCAAAAGCCTATCAAATTCAATCTCGATTCCCCATGGAGGTGCATATAATTCATTATTTATATAAATAGTTTCTAACATTTTCATGTATATAATACAATGTCTAATCTGCGAAGCATTGACGTAGGGATCCAACATGAGGGTATGAGACATCCTTAAAAGTTGAATATTTCTATGTTAGGATACAATGATACATGTACATGTAACTCTATCAATTATTCTACAACTAATTTTATTTTATTTTATTCATATAAGAACAGCTACAAAAACATGCAAAAAGAAAAATAACTATACATAATCATCTATATTTGTGAGCATATGCAAGCAAAACAAAACTAAATAGCACCAATGGCCCATACATAAACATGGATACTACATGCACTCATTAATATAAAATTAGCAAGAAAGCATAAGAACAATTGAAGTGAACTCTTATGATCTAACTATAAAGATATAGGTTAAGAATGTTTCTCATATCAACAGGAATTTTAGCTGGGGAGTAGTTTTTTCTTGGCAAGAAGTATACTATTAACGAGAAAGTTATATATAGATCGAAGATTTCACATACCAACTCCGAAGCCATGTCCTATGCCAACCCCGCACCCAACGCCTGCTTCAATTCTTTTAATTCCTAGCTTTTTAAGCTGAATACATAGGTAGAAAAATATAAGGTTACAATTGCTAAAAATAAAAATAAAAATGATTTGAAATAATGAATAACATGAGGGTTCATACAGAATCATTAACATGTCTCCCAACACCAGATAGAGCATCTGTGGCACCTCTTGTAGCACTAAGAACTGGCTGCAAAACTGGTATTGCCCCTGTTAAAAAACGCAAAATAAAATTCCATAGATGAAACTTCAAACAAATCTGAACAAAGTTTTAAGAAAATTGAATAGCTGGAAGACAAAAAATAAGCTTTCAAACGTAAGTTAAGTTATCCTCTATTTACAGATACAGAAAGGAGGAAGCAGCGGTGGGGGTTTTGGGTAGATGCTGGAAGGATTTACAGTTTGAGAGATAAGTGCATTCCGTTCTAAGAACTGTAATAACATGAGAAGGAGATGAACAATATTGATAAACAAAATACATTCAGAATATTGACTATAAACAAAGCGGGTAAACACATTTAGAGTTTAGATCGGCCGGCAAAAGAACATGAAAAATAGAACAAACTTCATGCATATAAAATATTCGACAAAATTCCGCAAACGTGTTTTGACACACACAATCTAAAAAACTTGCACAGAACAAAAGAAACAAATCGAACCACACATTGTCGAGTAGAAGAAGGTTTAGGGGCATCCTCGCTGCCATTTCCACCCAGAAAAAACTTCTCATATCCATGATCCAATGAAGAAGAATTAGATAAAATACGGGTATCTGGTTCAGAATCCAGACAAGCAGCTCACCAAAGTATATAGGACGCCCAACACCAATTCCAATCCCGCAACCGACTCCAAAGCCAGTGAAGACCTGACCAACCTTGAGGCTGAAGGGGTTCTCCATTACTAGGGTCAAAAAATTCCTCCGAAGGGGTATAGGATTCGGGAGAAAAAACTCATTTTGTGAGGGAAAAAAACAGGTTCCAGCTTCGGATCCTTCTACAAAAGAGAAGCTCCCATGGCCGCGACTGCGATAGACCGGAAAGTTTCCGTTCTCAGCAAATGCCCCGAAGTATATGATCGATAAATTCGTAATCAAAACTAAAGTTCAATGATTTTCAAAGGCAAAATTGACTTTATATGCCTTTGAAATTAAAGAAAAATAAAAAATGTCATATATTTTATTTATTGCGCTAAAATGGCAAAATGCTACTACCGCTTTCGACCGCTGATTATTTTTCCACTTTGTAACAACCAAAATTGGTTCCATAGTCTTAGGAATCCAACAAACTTACATTGATTGGATTAATTATTTTGGGCGGATATTGAACGTAGTTCGTAGACTAAATAGAATGCAGCACATCATACTTCGCTCGGTATCGCGGCTCAATAACACTCGTTATCACGGCTTAGTACCGCTGATGTGACATATTATGCTTGGTCTCCGGACGGCGTTCTGCATTTGATCTCCATACATAATAATTTCTTCTGAGATTGAGTTCAAATACATGAAATTTTTTAATCATATTTGAAGGTTGTTCGAACTCTATACAAATTATGAACCTTTATTTAAACTTGACCAGCCTTATTGTGACTTGTTTGAACGACATTGAGTGAATCTTGTTTAAACCTTGATTGCAATATTCTCAAATTGTGATTGAATTTTTTCAATTATTGTTCAAACCTTTTTTAAAAATTCAAATAAGATTAAAATAAGCTTTGCATAATGTTTGATTATAAATCAAATATATTTTGATTAATGTCATAATAAATTTTGATTAATATTCAAAGCAAATAATGGGCGAATGATGTTTTAAACAAATATGGTCAAATATATAATATCACTAATTTTCAATAAACTCTTCTTGATATATTCTATATCAAGGTATCTTGATATAATTTTTTTTTTTTTCAATTTTATGGACCATGGCTAAAAGTGAGTTGCTTTTGCAACCACCATAATACCATATCACTTTGAATTTGTTTAAGGCTTTATTTAGGATAGCTTTTTTACGGTTTTATGAAGCAGATTTATAATACAAAATTTTTAAATTCAAAAAATTATTTGTATTAAAAACTACTTTGAAGACTTAGGATTCAAATCTCCTTAAGGCATATTGTAGTTAACCATATTTCTCCTGAGCTTGGTACATCGGTCAGTATTTATTTAGATCCATATTTTTACTTCCTATGAGGGCAAGTCCTCATTATTAATTACCCCTTCTAACGCATAAGAGATAACTCTTGCTTATAGATGGAAAGTTTTAGGTGTTTTAGTCTCAATTGAGGGAGAAGAATGTAAACCCGATCAAGATATATGGTTTCACAATCTTATATATACCATAGGTTTCAGTTTACCAACACTAATAATTGTTGATCATATTGTCCAAAGAATTTGATTAGCAGTCATGAGTTGCCTATTTTCAGAAATCCTGAATAAACTGAAGTGATTTAGAGGTTGTAATTTTATTGTGGTTTGGGGCTTACATATGTTATAATACCTAGTAGTTTATTTAGTTTGAAATTTATGACTTCATTTAAAAGTTACAAGGTTAATTGAATTGGTAAGAGGCTTACGACTTCCAATAGAAGTAGCCTGATTATTTTAAAAGTGAGTCATATGCTTTTAGTGAAAAGTAGCCCAAATTTTTGAATTTGAGTTGAGTCCTACAACTTTCATTGAAATTAGCCTTAATAGCAGGTCTTACAACTTTCTTTGAAAGACGTCTGTCTATTTTGGATAGCTCTTACGGCTTCTGTGTTTAGAAGTGGTTTGAAGATGAGTCTTACAACCTAGCTCTATAAACTAAACGGCCCATTAATTTTGTTAAATAGTGAGTCTTATGGCTTCACTTAGAAGTAGCCTATAGATTTTTTAGGACTTTGTGCTTCTCTTTGAAAGTAGTTTGCTTGTTTTCTTTTATAGTAGATTGGATTGCATGTATTTTGGTTTGTAGTAATTTACTATTCTAACATTAAACTTTAGTTTATATGTTTAGAATAGTAATTTACTATTATAGTATTGATTTTCTTGCTTCTTTGTTTGCAGAAGTTCATGTTGCTTTGGAGCTTGCCCCAAAGCATTAGAGAGTTTGCACAAGTGCCTGGAATTTGCACAGGATTTGGGGCACTGGAGAAGTTTGAGGGTTTAGTTTTGTGTTGTTTTTTTGTTTTGAGAGGTTGGTTTTAGTGTTTGGTGTTTTGTTTTTAGGAGTTTGGTTGGCGTGTGTTGTTAGGGTTGATTAGTGTGAATATTGCTAGTTTTCTCTTTTGCTTGCATTTTAATTTTATTAATTAATCAAGTTTTAAGACATTTTAATTGATTGATTAATTAATTAATTAGAATTTAAATTCATTCTAGATTGATTGATTAATTGTTCAATTAATTTAGATTTTATTTTTGTTTTAAATTGGTTACTTAATTATTCAATTAAATGGATTTTGATTTTGTTTTATTTTATTTTAAATTGAATGAATTAGTTAAAAGAAATTTTAAATTGGTTAATTAATTAAATGCGAGTTCAATCTCAATCTAAATCAATTAATTAGTTCATTATTTAAATTCATTTTAAAATAACTGATTTATTGTTTATTTAATTATATTTTTATCTAAATTGATTATTCAATTAATTAAATGAAATTTTAATTTGATTAATTCATTGGAATTTAAGTTGATTAATTAAATTATTAATTAAAGTTTAAGTTTTATTTTAACTATTAAAGTTTAGATTTTTATTTTATGATTAAAGTTTTAATTAGATTAATTAGATAATTTTAAGTTTATCTTTTAATTAATTTAATAAATTAGTCATTTAATTAATATTACTCTCCAATAATTCCAAAAAGAAACATGGCAACCTTTCGACGTAATTTCGGTAGCCTTCTAGTGTCCCCTCGCCGCAATGGAAGGTCGGGAAGGCACTTGTCGTGGTTTCTACTCACCCAGATCAAAGATACGATGGTGTGGGGTCTTCGAATTGGAAATCCTCCTACATGGATCAAAGATCGATGACGTTGAGCCTTCAATTTGACAATCGATCAAAAAGACATATGGTGATCGGAGGCAGACCAATGTTCAAAGGGATCGTGCAGAGGTGCTGTACTCGGACGACGACCTACATGTTCGATGGGATTGAGTAGGCAGAGGGGGTCACCGCTTCTGTTTGGACAAAAGCACAATGCTTGATTAAGGGTTGTGAGAACGAACAGGGAGAGATAACTGAAGGTTTGAATCAAGAGGAGAGCGGGCTAGGGTGGTTTTATGCCGTGAGGGGTTAGAGAAATGAACAATTATATCGTTAGGCAATAAACTACCTAAGGTGGAGCCCGCTCGGACGCTGATGAGTTGCTTATGCATTTGCCAACCACCTACACCCTGCAACTTGCTACCAGCCACCATCCCTTGCTGTTGCTCGACCACCATCCGTCGTTGCTCAACCACCACTATTGTATGTTACACTACATTCATTTTACTTCAATTTAAACAAAAATAATAATCTCATGCATTCTTTTTATATTCATTCAAACAACTTCAAATATTACAAATACATATTACTTTTACATCGAATTACTTTTAGTCAACATTTTTTTTTTCTTCAGCAAACCTAAGTTAAAACTTGTATCATAGTATTTTTCTTATGCAAATAATATTAAAAACCACAATACAACATTCAAATTATATATATTAAAAAATTGTTTCTGAATTTCTAACCGTAAATTGATATGTGTAACGTAAATTTTGATTGATAAAGCTATATTAAATCCATCACAATTTCACAAAGCAATTTGAAATCCTTATTTCTTCAGTTCCAAGTCCTAAGGCTTGGCCGAAACCGGAACCGTTACGCTCACCAACACATCCGAACCATCGCTAGGCACCATGGCAATCACCGCCCCCGCTCCATCCCCACCCGGCACGATCCGATACGAAACACCCACCGGGACATTCTTATCCCCGAGCACCAAATCGCCGGCGCCTAGCTCCTCCCACCGCGCCGTCTTATCTCCTCCGCCCCGTTCTTCGCCGCCGTTCACACAAAACTCCACCTTTACGCCACCGGCGTGGTCGCTACGCAGAAAGGTGAAGTTATCGCCTGCCGAAGGCCAAGCGCCAGATTTGTTTCCGGTGGTGGGAGGGAGGTGGAAGAGGATGGTCGAGGTGGGCGGCGCCACGGTGGAGACGGCGGCGAGGTGGGCCGGGAGAGGGGAGGGCCTGAAGTTGGTGAGGTAGAAGATGGGGGAGGTGGCGAGGGAGCTGGGGGCGGTAAGTTGGCTATGCGTGTGTGCCCATTTTAGGAGGAAGCGGATGAGGAAGAGAGGGTCGGCGAGGAGAAGGCTGCAGCTGATGCCGATGCAGTAGCCGGAATCTTGGAAATCTGTTACCTGCATCCAGACCGATAAATTTAATTTACTCAAAAAAAAAAAAAAATCATTTTACAAAAAAATAAAGACTAATTAATTTACTTTAAAAATAAGAAACTACATTTTTAAGTGTTGTTTTATATATAAGAGTTATATCTTGAATTTTTTTTTTTATAAATTTCAGCACAATTCATATAGAATTTTCATATATTTTATATAGACCAAATAATTATATTACATTTTTATATAAATATCTTACACTATTTATGTATTTTTTATAAGATGCTTTTGATCTAACTTATAACCAAAATTATTCATATTTAAGATATATCATCAACTTTGTACATAAATATATAATAAATAAATAAATGTCTAATTTGGGAAGTTTATCATTACTTAATTGTTTTTTGGGACATAATTTAGTAGTTCAAGTTTTACCTTTAGAATCATTTTCTTTCTTGTAATCAATGTCCATTTTCTTTATAATGCATGGAAGTCATAAAATATTAGCATTATATATTCATTCAAAGAAATATATCTAAAAATTTTATTTTAGTAGAAATTTCCCCCCAATAAGAAATAACCTCTTGTATTTACTGAATCTTTATGGAAAATGAAGTCCTAGTTTCATTAGAACCATGTCCATTTGAATCATTTTCGAATCCACACTATTTGAATCTTATTTTAGCCCTTGTCATTTGAATTGCGTCCAAAACTACCTATTCTAATCAACTTTAAACATTCGAATTTCCAGTGCTCTCGACAAACTCCTTCGCATACTTAGGGTTTTGTCAATGCATGCCCTCAAGAAGCTCCGATCACAAACTTCTCTTATCCTTCGCACACTACTAATTTGTTCAATCAATTCTTACCCTTTGAGCTGCCTTCACGTGACCATTCGCTCTTTCACACGCAAGCAATTCCGTTGATGCCTTGTCCAACAAGCTTTGTCATTAACCCTTTTCTAATGCAGAATTTGTCGACCATGCATGTCGATGTTTGCCCACAATAAGCTCCCTTCACGAACTCACTTTTCCTTTACGTGCAATTGATCTCATAAATGCCTTCTCAAACAAGTTCCATTACAACTCCTTCCCTTATTCACATACATAAAGTCGATCCCAAATATGCCTTCCCCCATCCCATAATGATTTTAACCAAGATTTCAACAAAGGATGCAGCATATTTAAATATTTATGATTTTTATATTTACTTAAAATTAGACATTAAAATCCTCAAATTATATTAAAATGTTTATAATATTTATAATATTAACTGATATAAATAAAATTACAATTTATATGTATATATTTAAACAAAATTTAAATATTAAGATGATATATAAATATATATTAAAATTTAGGTGTTAAATAAGTTTAATAAATTTTGCCATATGTATGCCAATTTCCCATTTATTATAACATCAAAATTAAATAAATGTTAAATTATTGCTTAAAAATCATATTTTTAATTTTTCAAATAACTAAATGAACCCTAAAGATGTTTTCATTCTCTATAGAAACCAGATATTATCATTGGTCTAGCATAAGAAAAAAAATGTCAAGAACTTCTTGATGTTTTTTTATGTAAGATGACATGACTAAGATAAATGACCATATTAAAAAAAAAAACTGAAATATTAAATATTAATATTTTAACTACATAATATTTATTTTAAGCAATAAAATCGTGCTCAAAATTTTTTGTTCTTAAATAAAATCATGTTATTTTATTATTTTGATAAGATAATCTTTAACTTTGATAATTTAATTTATATTTTTAATTTTAACGTGAATCAGAATTGTTTGAGAAAAAAATATAAGGTAGGTATTTGATATTAGTGGATTACTTGACAAATGAGAGGAAAAGAGATTGTAGAAAGCAGATGATGAGAGGAGATAAGTAATTGAGAGAAAATTTTTGGCGCTAAAGCATCTTCTTCTTAGAGATTATTATGTGCGAACTTCAAACGTTATCCAAAAATCAATCAGAATGCTCCACGTCACCCCCAGCTCGATGCTGAGTGGTACTGAGTCGCGGTTCCGAGCAGGGGACGACGTGGCTCATTCTGTTTGCCTTCGGACGGCATTCAGAGTCCGCACAGAATAATTTCACCTCAAGAAAAGGAAAAAAGCTCCTCTCTCTCTCTCTGAAAGTTAACAAGTGAATGATATGTGAAACACTCATTAACTATCATTAAAAATTTTTTAGGCCATAGTTTTCATATTTAGGTAAATAAGTGAATGATAATGGCATGAGTTGTCATATTTAGGTTTTATTTCAGACAAATTTCTTAATTGCTTTGCTTTTCAGATCAAAACCATAATTTATTTTGGCCATTATTTTTTTGTTACTTTCAAAGAAATTTTTTATTAGGAAACTATTTTCTCCAACAACTTTAAGCTTCGTTTGTGATAGTTTTATTACTACTTTCCAAAAATTCATTGAAAATAGCGAAAAACAAGATGAAAAGTTGTTACAAATGAAGCCTTAAAGAATTATTTTCTCTACATTAGTTTTTTAAACAAATAAGAAAGTCATCCCAAATGAAGCCTTAGGTTTCGTTTAGGACAGTTTTCTTACTGCTTATTAAAATATTTTTTTAATATATAAATTACAATTTTTGTATCCAAAAAGTTGTTTTAAGAAGCAATAAGAAAGCTATTCCAAAGCCTTAATTATATCAATTGAGATATAATTAAGAAACAATTATTAAAATATTTTAATACGAAAGATTTTTAGAAAGATTTTTAAACTTAAAAATTAAAATTGACATCATAATTACGTGAGTTGTGCAGACTTTCCAAATTGGGAAAAATTATTGGATGTTCTGGAGATCAACCAGAACGCACACCGTCATCTGGTGCACAACGTCACCGAGCATTGATACAGAAAAAAAAATGATATGATACGTTTTGATTAGGGGTGTCAAAACTGGGTCACATGTCGGGTTCGGGTCGAACCCGGAACTGACCCGAGTTTAAACGGGTCGACCCTAACCAAACCCGGGTAGCTAAACGGGTTGAAAATCTGAACCTGGACCCGACCCCACGGGTTGCCGGGTTGACCCAACCCGACATGGGAAGCGGACACGAATGCACGTGGGCTGGATGCCGGCGAGCGGGTGTTGTCGCGCGGGCAGCTGGGAAGGCAGGGCGTGGGTAGGAGCGTGTGCAGATGGGCAGGAGCGCGGGCAGCCTGGGCAGATGCAAGCAATTCATGTTAAACGCCGCAGCACCCCCTATCAGTGTTCGACCTGACAATAACACATTTACATAATGTGTTTAATTATGTATTTGATACATCATTCCCTAACAATAACACATTTATATAATGTGTTTAATTATATTGAGGAAAATTGCCTAAATATCATAATATTTTAAAATTTTTAGGTAGTCAATTGCCTAAAAATCCTTCTAATTAAAACTAAAAGATAAATTTAGATGATAAATTACCTAAAGAATTACCTCAACGGGGTTCCGCCTCTATTTGGGACAGCTTTCTTATTGCTTCATAAAATAGTTTTCTGTTTTTATAATAAAAAGCTAGTTTAAGAAGCACAAAGAAAGCCGTCCTAAACGAATCCTAAATTTAGATCAATTTTATGTTAAATTACAATACGAAGGATCATTTTAGATTAATTTTATATAATCAATGTATTAGATCAACGCAAATATGATATTTTAGAACTAAATTGATCATACTCTACTAATCTCCGATGACTCTTATGGAGTTTCCTGATTTTTAAAAATTACTCGTGTGAGCCAACGTGTGATTTTACGCGCGAATGCGCATGATAAGATATCTCAATTTCGTACAGATAAACGTAATCCTTGTTGAGTTTAATAGGTTGACCGGGTTGACTCCTGATTCCGGAAGCTTGTTAGGTGTTGCTATGGTATTAATTTGGGCTGAAATGATAAGGGCCCAATCTAATAAGACAGGGCCCAGATATTTAATTTGGATGTAAAATGATAATATGTCTGCAAAGTTTTCAGCTTCCGGGCCGGGGAGACTTTCTTGTAATTTTAAACTTGAATCGAGTCAGATTAGAGCCCACAAACCTATGCCATCACGTCAGGTCAAAATGACATGTTGCATATGCCATTAAGAAAAAAATTATTCTGTGCGGATCTAAAGATCAATTAGAATGTTCGTTGTGTATCGAATAATATGACACGTTCTAGTTAATCTCCAAATTGCCCGGTGTCTGTACAGAAAAATTTATGTGCCAAAAGAATATAATTTTCTTTAACCACTCACTAGGCATTGCCTGCTGAAGAAATTTTTAGTTTAACCGGATTTACCTATGTAGTTTATATTGAAATATAATTAAATTATTAAATAATATGATTGAAATTTTTAATAAATATAATAAGAACTTGAATTAACTATGGGAGCTGCTGGGGCCTCCACATAGGGGTACGCCCTCAGGATGTGGCGTACGCTGACCGGTCACAGCCAGTCTCTGCAGCATTCTGAAATTTATCTGCACCTCCGCCGTTGGCTCGCTTGCGCGCGGGTAGCATAAGCGTTTCTCGCAAGAGGAATTTCTTGTATGGAAATTAGGAAGCGGATACACTAGGCGTGTACCTCTGTACCGAGCTTATACGGTGGTACAAAACAGTAACTATTTGAGACGAGCATGTACCGAGCGGGTACGAGCATTATAGCATCCGGTTACGAGCGGTATCATGACATTGCACTTAGCCAATACCGAGCGTGTACTAGTCTGTACGAGCTGGTTACCTAGTTGGTACTGAGCGGTACCAGCGGGACAAGAGAAGTAACTAGTGGTAACGACGATATCCAGCATATACATAGCCAGCGGCGGCATTACTTAGCGATTACCGAGCGCATGACTGTTAAGTCTTAATTTCTTGTAAGAAAATCACGTGTAAACAACAGCTGCTGCGAACAGACGGAGGTTGCAAATCAGAGATCAGCTGTAAAGATTTTATTGGAAACAGCGAGGAGCGGGCGCGGATCTTGGAGAACGGACTGCTCTGCGGACGCATTCGCGA